TTAATGAGATGCGGTTCTTACAAAGCACTGACATAATTTTATTACAGATTTTACTATTATGAACGTTACTGCGTTTGCCATTAGGATTGATTTCCTTCAAAAAATATCTTCTGTGGTAGGCTTACAAATTCAAACTTACAAATTTTCGCATCACATCCCTCGTGGGGTCAGCAGACACAAATATGCCACATTTTTAAATCGAATTAATGAAGTCTTTTAACCATTTAATACGTAAATCATGTAGTTTTGTGATTTAAAAAAAAAGAATTTACTCGATATTCTAGCTAGTGTATATGTATATGTGTAACTAAGGCTCATATTATAGAAAGATCCTCAGTAATTGATCTAGTCTTGAGCATAATTAGAAAGGGATGTCGCTATATATAGCACATAGCGATATCCCTTTCTAACTGTACTCAAGTAAAGATCAACACTTAGTTGTCATTCTGTAATACGAGCCCTAATGTATTATTTTGATGTGTTGACTAACACTATAAATGAGATCCACATAAGGATCTATTTAAAAATGCTTGTGAGCGTAGCTGTTAGTTTATTAAGTCTCTTTAAACAAATGAACTATGTAATATGGCTTTGACTTCATACATATTTGGCATTAAAAGGCTCTTAGTTTTCATATGAACGTGTTTTGATAGGTAAAGGTTGTAAGCCTATCGCCTATATAATTTGAATAGCTGTCGGAAAAAATAGCAGTGACCGCTTTAATTAATTGAGAAATTATTCTCATATGAGAGAGAAGAATTTCTCTATCTATATGAATAGAACAATACATTTTTAACAACTTAAATACCCCAACTTAAAATCGACGGGACGAGATATTGTCGTTTGTACTGGGAGGTAGATATATATGAAATTATAACGAATCTCTCCACTCACCAAAACGGCGTTGTATACATAGAACGTGACGTATTTCTACTTCGGAACCATAAGAATTCAAATCAATAATAAATCTTGCTAACAGACATTTTAACGGCATGATTAAAAAAGTAAATTCATTCGTTCTGGTATTTTCGAATAGACGAGTGTACAATGTACCAATATATAATAGTCAGTGGAATTTGATGCACACACGAAAGGGATAGAGAATTAAGCGCCAATTCTGTCAAAAATAGGTTCTTACTAAAGTTGATTATGCACTAGCATCACATACCTAATTTTACATTACAATAAATCGTAGAACATTTCAATTTAATTACAGATGCAGGGTTGCCGAATTTGACTAACGGAACAAATATATATATAAAATTATTGTCATGTTCGTTTCACGAAATCATATCCAAAAATCATACAAAAAGTCCCGACAAAAAAATTTGAAAAATAAAATTGAAAACAGGTAAACAGAACAAATAATAAAAACATTGTGGTCTTTTTGTTAAACACTGACACCGTCCCCATTATTAATAAACAAGGAATAAGCTTAAGACTAGTTACGCCGTATTTTGTCCTTGTCACTCAAATTCCATTTGTCATTTAATAAACAGAGACAAAACATGGATTAACTAATCCAAGCGTAGTCTTCATTTATTAATAAGTATAGGGGCGTAAGTATAAGCGAGAGGTAAATATAGCGTACGTTAATCAATAGAACAGCGTCAATGTTTTCTGGATCAGATTTTTTCATGAGATTGTTTACATAATGAATTATTCACAATTAACTATATAAAAACAGTAACAATGAAAAGAAAAATATCAAAACAGCTGTTATGTCAATTAACGCACTATAATCATACAACTCTTTATCTAAACATGTTTATTATTATATTAAGAGGTGGCAACCCTGTACAAATGCAACTAGCATTGTATACAGCGAAGCCAAACAGCCGAATATCCCTCCCTTTCGTTCTCATGTATTAAGAAAGAGATGCGACATTCTCACAACTCTCCGTCTTCGCTGCATTCGTGGCCCCGGTCAATCTAGTTTCAAGACAATTTATCATTGTGAAAAAAACCTACTTCTAAATAATTATGTTATACTTTAACGTACAAATAACCGAAATTGAACCTTATATATATTTATATTAAGTATGAATTTTAGTCTAAAAACATAGTTGTTATTTATGCGAGGCCACGAAACATGACCAAGAATCATCCACTTATATGTATAATACACAGAAAAACGTTAAGGCGTTTCAGAAACGGCCCTACTCCTACAATTGTAGGTAACTTCACGGGTACGCATGTCTATGTATGCGCGTGATCACTTTTGTTTACGTAAAAACAAAACTTAAAAAGAATCATTAACTATATTTATATCTATATGTATATTTTAATAAGCGCTGAACGGCCTAACAAGAAATAATAATAAATAAATTGAGGAGACCTGCGGCGCCCTTGTTTTGTACAAAGCCAGTTTTCATCTGGAAAGAAACACGAATACATACATAAAAAGGATTTCTCAAACATGCTTGGAAAGGAGAATGCCCATGTTGGTACAGCTTTGTCTCACGCATCAAGATAAAAATAATATGATAATTATTTTCTTTAATTTATATGTACGTTGGTCTATCAGAATGGCTATTTTGAACAGGGAATAATTGTAGAAGAATAATTAGTCATAGTACTGTTTACATTTAAAGCCGGATATCTGACGTTTGGCACGTACCTGGTCGCGGGGCTACCACAGCCGGTGCAGGTGCAGGTTGCGCGACAGCACGGAGCGGGGAGGGCGGGGAGGGAGGGACACGTACCTGGTCGCGGGGCTACCACAGCCGGTGCAGGTGCAGGTTGCGCGACAGCACGGAGCGGGGAGGGCGGGGAGGGAGGGGCACGTACCTGGTCGCGGGGCTACCACAGCCGGTGCAGGTGCAGGTTGCGCGACAGCACGGAGCGGGGAGGGCGGGGAGGGAGGGACACGTACCTGGTCGCGGGGCTACCACAGCCGGTGCAGGTGCAGGTTGCGCGACAGCACGGAGCGGGGAGGGCGGGGAGGGAGGGGCACGTACCTGGTCGCGGGGCTACCACAGCCGGTGCAGGTGCAGGTTGCGCGACAGCACGTAGCGGGGAGGGCGGGGAGGGAGGGGCACGTACCTGGTCGCGGGGCTACCACAGCCGGTGCAGGTGCAGGTTGCGCGACAGCACGGAGCGGGGAGGGCGGGGAGGGAGGGGCACGTACCTGGTCGCGGGGCTACCACAGCCGGTGCAGGTGCAGGTTGCGCGACAGCACGGAGCGGGGAGGGCGGGGAGGGAGGGGCACGTACCTGGTCGCGGGGCTACCACAGCCGGTGCAGGTGCAGGTTGCGCGACAGCACGGAGCGGGGAGGGCGGGGAGGGAGGGGCACGTACCTGGTCGCGGGGCTACCACAGCCGGTGCAGGTGCAGGTTGCGCGACAGCACGTAGCGGGGAGGGCGGGGAGGGAGGGGCACGTACCTGGTCGCGGGGCTACCACAGCCGGTGCAGGTGCAGGTTGCGCGACAGCACGGAGCGGGGAGGGCGGGGAGGGAGGGGCACGTACCTGGTCGCGGGGCTACCACAGCCGGTGCAGGTGCAGGTTGCGCGACAGCACGGAGCGGGGAGGGCGGGGAGGGAGGGGCACGTACCTGGTCGCGGGGCTACCACAGCCGGTGCAGGTGCAGGTTGCGCGACAGCACGGAGCGGGGAGGGCGGGGAGGGAGGGGCACGTACCTGGTCGCGGGGCTACCACAGCCGGTGCAGGTGCAGGTTGCGCGACAGCACGGAGCGGGGAGGGCGGGGAGGGAGGGGCACGTACCTGGTCGCGGGGCTACCACAGCCGGTGCAGGTGCAGGTTGCGCGACAGCACGTAGCGGGGAGGGCGGGGAGGGAGGGGCACGTACCTGGTCGCGGGGCTACCACAGCCGGTGCAGGTGCAGGTTGCGCGACAGCACGGAGCGGGGAGGGCGGGGAGGGAGGGGCACGTACCTGGTCGCGGGGCTACCACAGCCGGTGCAGGTGCAGGTTGCGCGACAGCACGGAGCGGGGAGGGCGGGGAGGGAGGGACACGTACCTGGTCGCGGGGCTACCACAGCCGGTGCAGGTGCAGGTTGCGCGACAGCACGGAGCGGGGAGGGCGGGGAGGGAGGGACACGTACCTGGTCGCGGGGCTACCACAGCCGGTGCAGGTGCAGGTTGCGCGACAGCACGGAGCGGGGAGGGCGGGGAGGGAGGGACACGTACCTGGTCGCGGGGCTACCACAGCCGGTGCAGGTGCAGGTTGCGCGACAGCACGTAGCGGGGAGGGCGGGGAGGGAGGGACACGTACCTGGTCGCGGGGCTACCACAGCCGGTGCAGGTGCAGGTTGCGCGACAGCACGGAGCGGGGAGGGCGGGGAGGGAGGGGCACGTACCTGGTCGCGGGGCTACCACAGCCGGTGCAGGTGCAGGTTGCGCGACAGCACGGAGCGGGGAGGGCGGGGAGGGAGGGACACGTACCTGGTCGCGGGGCTACCACAGCCGGTGCAGGTGCAGGTTGCGCGACAGCACGGAGCGGGGAGGGCGGGGAGGGAGGGACACGTACCTGGTCGCGGGGCTACCACAGCCGGTGCAGGTGCAGGTTGCGCGACAGCACGGAGCGGGGAGGGCGGGGAGGGAGGGACACGTACCTGGTCGCGGGGCTACCACAGCCGGTGCAGGTGCAGGTTGCGCGACAGCACGGAGCGGGGAGGGCGGGGAGGGAGGGACACGTACCTGGTCGCGGGGCTACCACAGCCGGTGCAGGTGCAGGTTGCGCGACAGCACGGAGCGGGGAGGGCGGGGAGGGAGGGACACGTACCTGGTCGCGGGGCTACCACAGCCGGTGCAGGTGCAGGTTGCGCGACAGCACGGAGCGGGGAGGGCGGGGAGGGAGGGGCACGTACCTGGTCGCGGGGCTACCACAGCCGGTGCAGGTGCAGGTTGCGCGACAGCACGGAGCGGGGAGGGCGGGGAGGGAGGGACACGTACCTGGTCGCGGGGCTACCACAGCCGGTGCAGGTGCAGGTTGCGCGACAGCACGGAGCGGGGAGGGCGGGGAGGGAGGGACACGTACCTGGTCGCGGGGCTACCACAGCCGGTGCAGGTGCAGGTTGCGCGACAGCACGGAACGCACGTCATGCGTAAAACGCAGCGCGTCCAGCACCGGCAACAGGTTGAGCAACGCCACGTCCAGCGGGTCGGAGAACCACGACTTTATGGGTATCGCGTTGTCTACGGGATACAAATGAGGATAGTGTTACTTACAGTGCAACCAACATCTCGTGGCGCGTGTTCGCAATCGGAACTAATTTTAGGCTTGTATAAATAAGTCTTTTACTCATAGAGGAAGGTTAAAAATATGCCTTTGTATATGCTATTAGTCATTCAGAGTAATTGCAAATTGTTACTTTTCCTATAGCGAGGAGATCTTACGTAGTCAGTAATCCTCATTTTACCACTTAGGGGCTGTCCATTAATCACTAGAGGTATATATACTATGTTTAAATAAACATTATTATCTTTTGCATTTTGGTGTTATATAGGTATCTCAGTAGAACCACTTTCAACAATACACTCTTTGTTCAGACACAAATACACGCGCACACACACGTACACGTACACTCACACACTCATACACCCACATACAAGCATGCATAAGCACAGACAAACAAATCGACTAAAAGAAATATTGAAAAAAAAAAATTTTTTTTTGCTATTTTTTAGATATTATATCATTCTTATTAAAATATTAAGGTGATCAATAATTCAATGTACCATGTCTTTTAGCACGGAGAGCGGGAATTTCTAATACAAGTATATATTTACTTAAAAGAAATTCCCAATCGCAATACTGTATCGGAAATTAATGTATCAAATAAAGAATTTGTAATTTGTATTTGTATGTAGTCTTAACCTCACCATGTATCACCAAGGGAGAGGGGGGCACAAAAAACAGCACGTGATTAATGGACGACCCCTTATTCTCCAGTTACGCCCTTCTGTCAATTCGAGAGATGTAATGACGTAGGCATCCGCTAAGAAAGAATTTTGATCAATTCTACCCCCAAGGGGATAAAATAGGGAATGAAAGTTTATATGAACCTTTGTCAATTTTAAACCGATCGGGCTGAGACTTTGCATGCAGGTGTAAGAAGAATCATAGATGAATGTCATTGTGTATAATACAAGCCTGAGAACAAAAACTGTAGTCTACACTTCAGCTCTACACCGAAGCGAAGCGAGGGCGGGTCGCTAGTGTCATATAAGTGCCACAAGACCTTGGTCACACTGTAACTGTACAATCAGAAACTCGCTAGTGCCTTTTTTCCACAAATTTCAAGAGAGTACCGCTTATTCTATTCTTTAATATGTCTAAATACTTGCGGCTAAACAATGATTTCGGATTGTTCAGTTACACAAACAATAAATTCTATTTTTCCTTCATTAGTCCGTTATCACCTGTGTGTGTCACTTTTGAATAAAAGACACTGTCAATAGCAATATATTAAAAAAAAAAACAATAATGGAAGTTACTATGGTGGCGTTAGTTTGTGATATGACATTCGACCTTAATAGTAAGTTTAGGACCCTCACTATCCTAAAATACAGACACGCATCGGGAATTTGAAGAATATATTGTTGAAAAGGTGTTTTATTTAAGATTTACATTTTTTACTGATATTTCATATATATGGCTTTTTTATCCCTGTGTTTTTAATTAAGTATAGCATACAACAAATTTAACAAATTTTTCGGTATATAATACCGCACCTACGGTGCGACAGTCTCTCATGCAAAACCATTTTTTTTCAGGATGAGCGTTTCAAACTTTAATATCCCAAAACATACAATATTTAAAGATTTTTACGTTATGATAAGCTTATACAGCTTAGCTATTCATCTTAAAAACAATTAAAAAAACTTTAAATATTGTATGTTTTGGGATGTTAAAGTTTTAAACGCTTCTCCTGAAAATGATTTTTTTGCATAAGTGACAGTGTCGCACCGGAGGTGCGATATGAAATATTGAAGAACTGCTGCCTTTGTAGGAATGCGTGGTCAGAATAATGATTTTTTATTTAGTTTGTCGAGCTACCTTCGAAAGCCTTTAATTTAGCGTTCGGATATTTCATTGGAAGATTTTTAAAACTTTATTGTCTATGCATGAATTTATTATTTACATAATTGAATTAATAAAGTTCTTTATTTAACCCGTTGAAACTTGTTTTACTTAATGAGTGATGTGCGTGAAAATCTAGGAAACAAATATGAACTGTTATTATAAATAAAAATACTATTTATTACCTGGAAAGTCCCGGTAGGCGCCAGGCGAGTTGTCCAGGATGAACACCCTGTTGAGGTCGTCACATATAGACGACAGGTTTTTGGTGTACGAGCCATGCTCCGCAGTGCAATGTTGTCTGTCAACAATCAGCCTATTAATATCTACACTGCTGGGACTGGGGCACAGGCCTTCTCTATGGAATTGGGAGATTGAACCGTGACCCACCACGCGGGTTTAGTGCAGATTAGTATCGCGTTGTCTAAGGGATACAAATGAGGCCGAGACCAACTTAACGTGCCTTCCGAAGCACGGAGGAGTTCCCGATAATTATTTTTTGATCACCCATCCGATGAAAGGCCACTGCGAAAGGTGCTTAACTTTCACGATCGCTAACCGAGCGCGCTACCCACTTGCGCCATCGACCTCCATCAACAATTAATACATTTATATTACGGGGTACAGGATTAAGCAAGCAACGCGGATGTAGGCAATAGCGGGGACAAGGAATACACTCGTCCTTGTCATAAATTAATAAAATTGACTCAATAAATTAGTAGAAGTATATTTTGAGCAGTTGACATCAAGAATCAAGAATAAACATTTAAATCACAATAGTATAGAAAAATATATAAAGCCTGAGGAGGCTCTTAAAATGTTTCTAAAGATGAGAAAAAGTTGTCAGCAACAAGGGAGTAGATACTCTGGTAAAGTGTGATTAAAACTTCATGGCCGTTGTGAAATTAGCAGCGAGCACAACTATGCGCAAGTTTCAGTTAAGTAACGTCATGGACAAAGAGCAGAACTGAACGGCAATATCAATGGCAATGTGTAAACATTATCGCTATTGTGTTGTGATAATAACAAAGGAGATAAGTGAGAAGTGGCGAGAGTGAGCGAGATAGCTACAATCGGGCTTGCACTACGCGCGCACGTTATAAATCTAATATTATCCTATGTTGAAGTTTGAGTATTTTTTTATCTCATTCTGTACCCTTAGTAAAATAATATCAATAATATATAAATAATTATTTTTGTTTTACAATTACGAAAACTATGATAGTTTTCGTGAGCTCGCACTCATACTAAGGGTACTGATTTTATTGTTTTCTTTTCAATACAAATAAATAGTGTTTATATTCTATCATTAAACATTTGCGTCTTCATAAATTTTAAGTATATTTGATTACTTTTCACTAAAATAGACATAAAAACATAATTTACAATTCGAAAACTATGATAGTTTTCGTGAGCTCAGACTCGTACTAAGGGTACTGTTCTATAACCGTAAATGGTAGAATTAGAAGACAGATTCAAGCTTTCCGACAAATAGCAAATTTTCACCTAAAAATATGGATGGTACGTGTTGGCGATTTAGGCGTATTAAACGAGATGATGAATCGTATTAAGCGTAAAGAAATGTATGAAAACATGTCTCAAGTTTCATGGACTGACGCAAAATGGCGTATTATGCGAGAAATCGTATTAAGCGTGATCGTATTAAACGGGTTCTACTGAATAATAAAGAGGTACTCAGTTTATAATACCTATAGAAACGTCTCCGTAGTATGCCCCGATCGTTGTCTAGTTTGTCGGCGACCGCCGCGCCGTATATCTCCATGGAAGCTGTGAACACCACCAGCTCATACCACTGTGACACCTGCAAGCAAATGTATAATTTATAACAACCTTATATAGGATAGTTTATACACTTTCCTCCAACTTAAACGACATGGTACAAGTCATCATAAGAGCATGTTAGGAAACTCGCGCCGACAAGTGGGGAACCTTATTTTTAATGTTCTAGAATATAGAGCGATCCATTTTTTTGCAGAAAGCGCAACTATGCCTAGTTTTCTAGTTCAGTATCATCCCGCGCCTACATCAATCTATGTAGCGCGTGGCAGAACTCAGAACTAATTTTAGTAAGCTATATATTAGCCTTTTTGCTTGAATAGGAAGATATTAATAAGCCTTTTATATTTCCCATTACTCTTTCCGAATCATTGCAAATTATAACATTCCTTAAAAGAGAAAAAAATTTAAGTACTTATTAATAAAGATTTTATTTCATTTCACCAGCAGCACCCTCCTGTCAATATCATAAAAGTGCTACAAGATCTTGGGAGCACTGTACATTTCCTTTACTGCGCAGTGACTGTTGCTAAGTTCACAATACACTTTACCCCAGACTAGACAATTAGCAGGTCTAAGTAGTATACGCGACGCGGTAGGACTTTAATAAATAGAATTTGAGAGTTATTGATATGTCTCAAGACTCAAATTTATGCAACACATTTCAAAGTATGTTAGAGCTATGCGCCATGTTTTTCTAAACGCGCAGTCGACGCGCGATTGTAGCTATACTGACGCGATACGCACACGAGTCAGACGCAGCCTGTAGATCTTTGCACACCTATAGGGCCCTGCCTGTGCACACCATGTTTTTTAAAAGCGCCGTCGACGCGTGTTTGTCGCGATACAGAGGCGATGCTAACGCGCGCGTGTATGTATCGATACAAATGATAATAAACAGCTCTGTAGAAAATAAAAGCACGACGACTGATGTTCAGTAACGGTGGAGTCCAGACGCGAAGATAGCTGATACCTTTTTTTTTTTTATAACGCAGGTAAAAAATCTTTTTACAGACGACTGCGCCTTTAAGAGGCACACCGCCAAACGGAGCGACGGTACGTTTAAAAAACGTGGTATGCTTCAGACTCAGGTGCTGAACTGCTGGGCGTCCTCGTAGTGAATGCGTGTCGTTCGTTGTTTAATGACTTATGGCACACAATCATAAAGTTACATTATATTGCTATAACTTAACACTAAAATGACGAAAATTAAATCCCATGACGCTGCCTTGGGCAGGCTATAAGCAAAAGCCCATATCTATTTTATGATTTTAATTCCATCTTAATAAAGATGTAATATATAATTGTAAGATGTATTTGTGGAAAAATAAACTGTGTTCCAATACCATATTGATAGATCATCATAAAAAAGAAATATACATTAGAGAGAAAGAACATGGTGAAAGTAGATAATTAAAATGGACGATGCTAGAGAAAATTGAATTACATAGTTGTTACACTAATTAGAGTAGTTATATTTAATAAGTTTCTACTTGATGAGCAACGAATGTTTACAATTTCCACTTTAAAGCACATCTGTGCATGTAAGTACATCATACACATGGTTGTAATCTATTTATAAAAGTTATTTGTGTTGTCCAGCAAAGTTCAGTGTATATTGTGCCATATGTGCCTGACAACTAATAGGTACACAAAATAGTCACATGGAAAATATTAAACAGTTTTAACACATTCATATGTGTGGTGCTTGCTTCAGTAACCAAAATTAACTGCCTAAGTGTATGTAAGGAACAAGTACTTTTATTTAATGCGGGCACTTCACTTGGCTATATTGTATTTACATTTGCTGTTTGTAAACTTGACAACAGCATGTCCTTATCATGCTTTAAAGGAATGAAAAGGAGACACTGATGTCAAGTACAAATAGCCAAGGGAAGTGCTGCATTATAAAAAAAAGTCTTAGCCCTTGTTTCACGTTTGTGCAGACTATAGTTTTTTATCTTGTCCATGTATCTATATATATAAAACTCAAAGGTGACTGACTGACATAGTGATCTATCAATGCGCAGCCCAAACCATTGGACGGATCGGGCTGAAATTTGGAATGCAGGTAGATGTTATGACATAAGCATCCATTAAGAGAGGATTTTGATCAATTCAAAGATTTTGAAAAAGACATTTGTATAGAGCAAAAGAATCTTGTTTAGCCTATGTACAAATTGGATTAAAACATACTAAATCTTGTGTGTATAGTCTAAAATAATACCCACTTATGTTTATCTTCACCTAGCTATAAAAGCCAAGTGAGACTGACTATCAGACATAGGGCTCTAAGTGACATTATTAGCTCTTATACTTTCATATATAATAATATAATTCAGAATACAATATATTTGTCTACATTGTATGTATAAATATATATTTTCTATTTCTATAATAAAAAAAAATATTATAGAAATAGAAAATATATATAAGTTTGAATTCAACATAAGCAGACCCGTCTTTCCCAGTGGGCACTTTGGGCAAGAGCCCAGGGCCCCACGATTGACAGGGGGCCCCCTCAGATCAAATACAAAGTCCCTAGTTCCTGTTAAATCTCCAAACGGAAGGCATAGGGGCCCCATTATCCTAATATGCCCAGGGCCTTCAATAGGTCAAAGACGGCACTGAACATAAGGATGTTTATTTAGAAAATTTTTGCATATTATAGAAGGAGCCCAAAAAGGTTTTGAAACTAATGTGTTATATTTTTGTTTCAGTTCAATCCATAATTGATGATGATGATGATGACTGACGATTTCAGCAGTAAAAGACAAGGGAAAAGTCTACAATTTAAATGGACTTCAATACAGCAGCTATATTATCTAATTTCACAATAAAAACATGGAAATTACATCGAAAAGCAAAAACTTACTATATCCAAGAAGTAATCCACATGAGGTCTTTTATGTACAAAAAATCTGACTGGGTGTTTGTCAATCGTCACTTTTAAAACAAAGTCCGGTGGTGTTCCCGGTTTAACTGTTGGTCGCAGCATTGCATCATGATGCGAATGAATAAGTGTTTCATCTAAATCTAACACCAGCATTTTTCTTTTCACCAGACCTGAAAAAGAAAAGTAGGTTATGTTGCAACTATATTGTGATAAATATATTCAAGAATAACATTCTTATATACTTCTGGACACATCTATTGGCCCACTAATGTCCATATTATAGAAAAATTCTCAGTGATTGATCTAGTCTTGAGCATAGTTAGAAGGGGATGTTGCTATACATAGCACATAGCGACATCCCTTTCTAACTGTACTCAAGTAAAGATCAACACTTAGTTGTCCTTCTGTAATACAGGCCTAAGTGTTATAAGTTTCAATGATTTGTAGCAAAAATATATGTATATGGTTGAGCAATAATTTTTAAAAAACATGAAAAGACAGTTAATAAAACAGCTTCAAAACTGGGTAGGTAATAACTTATTGCTGAATGTTACAGTTACTTTTAGCTTAGGATCATCAACACTTAAAATGCTAGGTGGGCCAATAGATGTGTCTGGAAGTGTAGCCGAGATGTTTTCTGAGATGGTATGAAACTTTCAAATAAAATGTATACAAAACATGTCATATTTTATTATATAGAAAAAGGTTTATATACTTTAAACATCTGAAATATACTGTTACTGTATACACAATTGGAGATTTAGTCAGCGGTACAATCCTAATCACGCATAAGCAATTAAAGTCCAAAAATATGGGCCCAGAGCCTTTTATCAAATCATATGTGGCAGATAGTGTTGAGGATAACAACTCGACATTTGCATAAATAAACACTTGTGTGATTCCCAAGTGTCTGCAGAAAAGGGCACAGTGATAACATTTTAATTATATCTGGAAATTTGGGGTCAGAATGTCAGATACTGATTATTACAAGGAAAATGAGTTTGTAGTACCTATTTACTTAAAATAGTACCTAACTAATTTATAACAATACATGTCAACAAGATTAGCCGACAAAGATATACGACATTATTTTTGATAATATGTAGATAACTTACTCAGCCTGTGTCTAGATACCGGGGAAAGTGGATAGATTTCATACTTGACAGATTGATATTGCGCCAACTGAAAACCAAACACCACGTGAGGGTATAAACGTTCTTCTTGAAAATTAACTTTTAAAAAGTAGTGTCAACACTGAAGTTCATATTTACCGCTCGATATTGCTTCTTAAACATATAACAAAAACAACTCCATACTTTAGATGCGAGAAGCATGAATGTGCGAAGGCCCATTTGCAATTGTTTCAGCATTTGAACAGTTTAGGAAACAGTCACGAATATATAAATACGCTTAGTCTTAAACAACAGAGGTGGAAACGAGATCATTGACGGCGTAATTCAAAACAATTCAATAAAAAATAACTGCCGAAAACATCTAACCCGCCATGACATAATCGACCCAAATCGCCTATCAAAGACAATTTTGTAGAACTTTTACTTTCATTACTATCTACGCTTTTAGTGCTGTCCTCACGCTGTTTTTATCCAATTTTTACCGGTTTCTCTGTGGTTTAATAAAATATGGGGCCCGATTCTGGCATAATTATAATTCTCTAAACTTAAATTATCTTTTCGACTCATTCTGCATAGAGCAAGACAAGGATACGCCGTTGTGGTTTTATATTTATTGAATAATATCACAATTGGACCCAGTAATAAAAATAAATATTGCCGAATATATGTTTGTCTGACATGTATCGGTATGCTATTATGATTGTATGTATTTGGTTAAGGGATATCTGAACCTATTTTCGTAAACATACTATTTTCAATTTGTAAACAATTGGTATTTAATACTTTTTCTGATTTGTTTACAAATTGAAAATAGCATGTCCGCGAATTCATCTGAGTTTTCTTTTCAAGTTTAGTTTTTTGGATATCCCTCAGCAGCCTAACAATTTTCCGAGATAAAGGGTATCCTTTGTCTCAATCGTGTCTATGTTCAGTAGTTTTTGCGTGATTGAGTAACAAACATACAAACTTTCACATCAATAATATTAGTAGGATTTATATTCCTAACAAAGCAATTACGTATTGGTATGTAAAGCAGTATTATCAGTTGTTAATGAAAGCGGTTTTTTACCTATTCCTATGCCACATAATAAAATGAACGTATTAACAGCCTAATTTTATTCCCTAATTGTTAGAAGACTGGTAATCTCAATGACGAAGGATGGGTAAACTTAATCATCAATTAAGATTGTACAGTTGACAATTTAAATAAAGGATAAAATTAACTACTCCTATACCATTAATAAATTTTATTTATCACTTATAATAACTCTTATAAATAACATACTTAAAACATATGAGGGTATGAACATATATGTTTTACGGAAATTAGGAATGCATTATCAAAAATACAATTCAAAATTATTATAAAAAAATATATTGAAAAACTAGATGAAAAATATATAAGCCAACAATTCTTCAAAAGGTAGGTGCTAACTTTATTCTTCCATTACACCGTTAAGTCATCCAACTTAACGCTGGTTTATGTAAAACCGCATAATGAAAAAGTTTACTAGTTGAAATAACTTATTTATATCATAGGCACCTAGCAGGCATACGCTATAAATGTTTAAAATGCCTTAGGCATACGTCGGAAAATTTCTTTTCGACCTATGGCTACGTACCAAATTTGTAAAGAAAGAGGCTTTTTGTTTGGCGACAATATAAAAATATCTAAATTCTATAGAATTATAGACACCAAAAAAATAAAAACTGTAAAGTACAAAACTTCATCGTCAGTAAGCAGACTTAACCAAAAACACAGTAGTATCAAAGTTTAAGGTACCTTTATAGATACTTGTAATAAGGGTTACCATTTAGGAATTTCAAAAGTCCTGACATTTCGAAAAAAGTCCGGACGTTTTAGTTACAAAATGGTACCATTACTCACATAGTTACAATGGTATGGTATTTAAATCAAAACGTATATTTTTAATTCATATTCAATGTAATTTCAAAAATCTCGGATAAAGTCCGGACTATAATCTAAAAGTTTGGGCATGTCCGGAATAATCCGGATGGAAGGTAACCGGACTTGTAATTCATTCGAAGTTGTCTTTGTTTTCGATTCGAAGTGAAAAGTTCATCAGCAAAAACAGTAGACACGCAACAGGTTGCAAATATGATGTAACTTATTATTAAAAAAAGAGGAAGTCAACAATGGGATTTTTATGTCTTAATCTTTATACAATTAAATAGCTCCAACGCAGAATCCAGGTCCACTGGGTGGTTGAGCGCGTATTCCGCGTCTTCTCATACGACACGTATGTTCTTCCAAACGTTGTCTCACTCCATCCAAGGGATCGTAACTTCTAGCGTTTGGCGTCGAACGGCTGTACGTTCGTAAAGAATCTGTTGGGGAACTCCATAGACGTTCCGCTGTAGCACTGGCACGGGGCCAAACTCTGTAAATACATTAATATAAATTAAAATATTGTCAACATTTTACTATTTACTTACTCTAGAACTAGCTGTAAAATAATTTAAATTTTTAATAGCCATGGAGACCTTGTACTGAGAAGAACCGGCAAGAAACTCAGCAAGGACTATTTTTTTTCTCCCTGTATTGTCATATACAGAGTCGTTAAGTTGACAAATGACTTCAGAGATACTTCTAAAGTCACCTTCCATTACATCATTTAGAATATATATAAGTATAGTTGCAATAAAATTTAAAGTTAACTTTATATTTAGAATATACGAAGCGGCATTTGATAGGTACCATATTACTGCTATGAAAAATGACTAATACCCATCAATTAACAAATTACAAGAAACGCTATGTCCATGTATTACGATCATTTAGATAATTTTCAACTTTATAATAACCCATATTCATAAGAGTATTCTTGATCTGAGATTTAAATTTGGTCAGTGGAAGTTCAATCAGATCTTGAGGAACTTTATTAAACAATGCAATACTACAACCCAGAAATGAACCTCTAGATTTTTGAAGTCTGAAACATGGAACAGCAAGCATGTTCAAATACCAAAGATACTCAGTCGTTACGGTACTTAGGAATGGCGATCTGAGATCGATTAAGCGAAGAATCGATTTTTAGTACTGAATCGATTCAGTGAATCGATATTTCAACCTTGAAAATCATAATCGTATAAACCAAAAAAGTATTTACAATTAATTGAATGTACCCGTATTATAAGAATGCTGCCGGTTGAAGGGTTAATTATTCAAAACTCGCGAGATAACTGTATGCTTAGATTCCTTCGCCCCTCTTTAATGAAAAAAATTACGTTTGTAATCTTTGAATAAAAATATTTTTTATCATCAAATTACCAGATTTTACTGATAAGAGATCGTTAAATTAAAGTATGTATCTTGTTTTTAATAAAATAGATTTATATTAATTACATTATAAACAAAAACTTTAAACAAAGATCTATTTTTCAGAAATCGATCTTATTGGCCTCGATTTTTCGTGAATCGATTTATTAGGTCACGATTCGAATCGATTTATAAATCGATGTTTTTCGGAAAGAATCGCCATCTTTAACGGTACTAACCTGCTTATAACATTGGTGTCATCTACCACTTCGCCCCACATGCAAGCTTCACCTCCAATTATTTTGTCCAAGGACGATGTATCATTGCCAATTTTATCAATGACCATTTCTCTAGGGTCTGCGAGGTAGTAATCGATCCAGTCCCCTCCAGTTTTCAAGTGGTCAAGGTACCAGGAAGATGAGAAAATTAATTTTCGGCCAGTCTTCAAAATCTTGGAATTAAAAAGTATAATCTTTGATTAAAAGATTGGGGTACCTTACATTGATCATTATAAGTAACATAATATATGTTTTTTTTCCGGGGATAGGTACCTATTTATAATCTGAGTCATAATGTACTATGTTACACAATTTATCCATCTATTTTTTGGAAATAATATACCGTACTTATTAAACAAAAATATACAATCAGCATGTTAAGTGCGAAGATGTCAGATCTTTTGAGCAAAATTTAATTTAATAATCCACGACACGATATTTACATATTCTTTCCATTATCAAACGATTGCCTTCAAATATTTCTTATGAATTCTGAACAGGTCCTTTAAAAGAATAGATCCATAATTTATAAATCATAACGAAATCGCGGTGAGTCTTAAAGATTTTGTACACGAATAAACGTATGAAATAGAAAGTGTACAACCAGCGCAATTTTAATGGCCTTATTAAAAATATGTTTGTTCCATGCTCTTATTATGTTTCATCTTAATAGATTCATTAGGAATCGTTAAAAATGTTGTATATCCAAAATTTTATTACGAAAAAAAAACATAATTACCTACTTAATAATATCTAATCAGTTCTAACTTGACATGTTGGCTTTCTTGACCCGTTTCTGCTTCTAAATATTAAACTTTTCCCAGAATCAATTAAAAAAAATAGTTATAAAAAACTCACTCTTATCATCTCATTGACCCAATCGTATTTCCATACTTGCACAATTGTGTCTTCGGCGAGTGGTACACCTTCATCAAATACCTCCTGAAATTTAAAGTACGTAGGTAATTTACATTTGTTTTACTTAGAATAAGATATGTTAATGTTATCTAATAAGTATGTCATGGCTAAGCTGACCTCGTAAAGTCACAGTAGAAGATGTCCAAGCAGCCCCCTTATTTACAATAAGGTTCTTAAAATAAACCTTATTCTTTGCTACAATACAAAATTATCAGTCATGCGGATTGAAAAAGAGAACTTATGGAAATCCAAACCTAACCTCACGGAAGAGATAGTTGACACTTGAAGAGTTATTATTGAACAATACTTAATATAGACGGGTATCATTATATTTAAGAGAGAGATACACCGCGAATTTTGAGTACCTGAGATACTACTCGTAGCTAATTCAGACAACGATTCAGGTTATATTTCCACACAAAAAACTTTTTTTTTCAATTTTTTTTTTCGAAAAACACCTTAAAGTAATTGTCATAAATTGATTCAAATAATACAACTTTTACGATCTACGTACGTAAAACAGATAATAATTCCATAATAGGTAAGTATTAATATGTTGTTTACAAATTTTTGCCATTTTAGAATATTTTAGAAACGATATAAATCAATATTTTTGTATGGAGGTGCAGTAGTATGTTAACTTTTTATAATTGTACTCACTATTTTTATTTACACGATTTTTGAGTTTTTCAGGTAACTTAAAATTCACGGTGTATAAAATAAAGGAAGGCTACAATAATACAGCCAAATAGGCCGAAAACAAGAAAGGTAAAGTGATACGAGCATTTCTGCCGTCCTCAAGCTAAAACGCGGCTAAATGATAGTAACAACTTTTGAGATATGGCCAAAAAATGACGCGTAAACTTTAAATTATTGCTATTTAGTAACTATTCATCACATGGCGGATTTTTAGACTTAAACTATAAAAGATAAGAATACTTGTTAAAGATAGATTGATACATACTTAAAAACTGTATAAGATGCAATTTAAGACTGAAAAATCGGCCACATGCCACTTAGCTGCATTTTAGCTTGAGGACGGTAGATTTGTACTCCAGTCATGTATGTTTAATATGTATGTATTTCTATATAATTAACTACTATATGTATCAGTATATGTATTCTATCCGTTATCCTCGTATCCCATAACACAAGCCTGCAGTGCTAACTTTGGGGCTAGGCAAATTAGTGTGTGTTGGAAATATTTATTTATTATTTTTATATACATATTCTGATGAGGTCATCTATATTAAATCGATAGAAGACAGGGCAAACTGTAGGTATCGAAAATTGTGATAAATACAAAACTATTGTGAAAAGCCAAGCTTAATACCAGACCCGTCTTTCCCAGTGGGCACTTTGGGCAAGTGCCCAGGGCCCCGCGATCGATAGGGAGCCCCCTCAGATCAAATACAATGTTCCTAGTTCCTGTTAAATCACCAAACGGAAGTCATAGGGGCCCCATTATCCTAATATGCCCAGGGCCTCCAATATATTACTTTAAACATCAACATTAAATCGATTGTAGTAAAAACTCTCTATATTTTAAGCGAACTATTTCATGAATTTCTACGTTTTTTCAACTTGCCTGCCAAACTACCGCCTTGGAACTCCCAAGCAGTGGTAATACGTTTTCCATGAACAGAGCATGGAGTTGAGCAGCTGTCAGGTTGTGTTCTTTCATGTACTTCTGAAGGTCTGGATTCGATCGCCTTTGTAGAGGAAATGTCATCAAATTAAATTAAAATCACATACAATCAGGTACATTTCTGGACAATCGATACATACATATAAATAAAATTGGAGTGTCTGTTTGTAATATTGAAATAACCGCTTTTTCCTACATGCATACATGAATATATATACGGTAGATACACCAAAATAAATTTTTTTACAATTTTTGTCTGTCAGTCTGTTTGTTCCGGCTAATCTCTGAAATGGCTGGACCGATATTGACGGGACTTTTATTGGCAGGTAGCCGATGTAATAAGGAGTAACTAAGGCTACTTTTATATTAGAAACATTCTTTTATTTTAGAAAAAAAAATATACTAAAAGTTTACAGCGGACGAAGTCGCGGGCGGCCGTTGTTTGTTTAATTTTAGTTGTTTAATAGACAAGAAGCAAGACCCCTGGTTGGCGAAGTCTCCTCAATCTTACAGAAGACAATAGTACAATAACATCGCGGGGTCTACTCTCTTTCTCCGAAACGAACTTTCGATAACGAAGTTTCTAACGAAATTTCGTTTTTCGTTGAATTAGAGTAGGCCTCCAGAACCTTTAAATTTATTGTGTTTTTCTATTTCTATGAGTGAGTAAAGTTCTGGGGCTCAACGGGATAGAAAAGATAGGGTCAGGGTAGGCAATGCACGAGGCAGAGTTGCCAGGTCTCCCGATTTTACAGGCTCCAGCTAGCTAGGCAGCTCCTGTTTTCCCAAAATGTCTCCTGTTCTTCTGTTTCTCTACATGAATCTACTGTTTCTTAGAATACGATTTTAAATGAATTTAAATTTCGTGCTGAATTGCGTTTTCCGCCATTAGGCATGTAGATAACCTTAAATATAAAAAAACAACAGAACTATTATATGTCTTTTTTAAAACAAAAAAAAAAACTTTGACTTGCGGCAAAGCCATAAAAACGCATTCGTTACTGGTCTATATTTGTTCTGTTTCTTCATGCAGCTCGTGCAGAATATCTACTGCTTTTTTCTGAAATGCCTCCCATTTTTTTAAATTCGGACCTGGCACTAGCACGAGGTATCGCAAGCATCTACGGTGGTTCTATTTACCATCAAATTAGTAATACTTATAAAAACTTGCTTGCTTAAAACAATTCAAAAGTACTGCCAATTAAAGAAATCATTGTAGACGGTGATATTATTATGTAGATTTGTTTTTTCTCTTATAAAATATTTAGCGCTAAAATTCAAGACTGTGTTTATTGCTGTAAATTTACTCCATCACTTTGAAAAATAAATTATTATAAAGCTATTATTTACCAGCATTCTAATTCCACTTCATCTCCACCAACATGGAAGTATTTATCCGGAAACCATTGCTGCACTTCCTTTATGAGTTCTTCAAGAAGTTTGTAAGTACCATTATTGATAGGGTTCATTGGACCTAATCCTATTAATTGACCGTTCAAATAGCACTCTGTGAGAGTGTCAGGATATGCATTACCCCATGACCGGGTATGACCTGCGAAATATTGGAATAATTTCTCAATAATCGAATCTTCATAATGATAAATAGCATTAAGATGCTCTTATCTGTATAACACTTTAGCCTACTCTCATTCAATTAATATTAAATAAGTGAACAAAGATTAGTCCATTAACAAGCAATCAACTTTCGAGATAACTTAGTCCACAGTTATGGACAATAAAGTGATGATGTTTGCTATAAGAACAAACATGGATAATACATCACTGATATCAGTAGGTAATACGAAAAATATTATGTACCTATAACTTTCATTTCCATTTCAAGGCTAACAGTGACAATACACACATTAATGTTTACAAATAAGAATTAAACAAGCAATGGTTTACTTGCATCATCACTGGTATGTTTACACTTACCGGGGACATCGAATTCTGGCATTACTCTGATGCCTCTATCCCTCGCGTAATTCACAACTAGTCCGATGTCAGCTTTTGTGTATATCATAGATGGATGGAATGCTCCTTTCTCACTAGTGAATAGCAAATTGTTATCAGTACCAACAAGCCTAGTTATTACTTTTGACAAATGGAGGATTTTTTTATCCTTGTTTAGAAAAGTGAGGAAAACATGAACATGTCTGTAAAAAATAACTTGTATATCTTTCCTCATTCTTCGTTAAACAAAAAAGCGGTACCTTAAATTGGGGAATATTTCGCTCTGATACGGAAAACTCTGGTCGTCAACGATGTGCCAATGAAAAACATTCATTTTATTCATCGCCATAGCATCTAATGTCCTTAATATATTAGACAAGGAGATATAGTGCCTGGAAGTGTCAAGCAATAAGCCGCGATGTTGATATCGAGGGAAGTCCGAGATATGTGTTTTATTTATGCGTATTTCCTGTAATATTCATTATTTATATTAAGTATAAAGACAAAACTTTAAGATATGAGTATGTATTATTTATAAAAATATATAGGTATGTTTAATAATAGCCTGGACCAGGACATAATTGAAGTCACAGAATTATGAATATCAAATCCAAGCAAGCAGTTAGTTAATATAGTAATAGGTATGAGACTTACATTGTAATCGTCTGTAAAGTAAAATAACTGTGTCCAGGTTTCCAAACCTCTCAAAATTCCCCATACAGACATACTAGACAATTTTGACCTTTCTGATATAATCAGTTCATCTGAAATAGTTTAAGGAGAATTTAAACAATATAATTTAAATTGATATTAAATATCTCTGAAAATACCAAATTTTAATTTTACTGGGTACCTATATTGTGGGATCCTTTGATTATTATTATCCTATTTAAGCCACATCTTTCTATGGTTTCCATAGGTGATAGAAACTATAGAAAGATTAACTCTTTTTTACGACATAGTAGCGTAGTGGTAGTGGTTTGTTAATAACAAAATTGCAAGCATGGTTAAGAGGTCACGTTAAGAAATGAATTAAAAATCGAGGACACAAATTAAGTAAAAATACATTCAATATCCTTAATATTTCATTGATGTCTTTACAACAAAATGGTAACATGGTCATGGACAGACTTAGTAAACATGGGTTACTAACAGGTCATCGCCCAAAAAATGTGTTATCGCGAAGTCAACGTACGTCATATGTACCATCTTGTTATTAATACCTATATATCAAGAGGAAAAGAAAATTTCCAATAATTTAATTTGTTAATAGTTTTATGATAATTATCGTATTGTATATGTCGCAGGAAAATTGTAGGTTACTGCGTATTACAAACGGCATCGTCCTTTTAAAAACGCTCGCTGCTTTAAAATATGCCGAAGGCAAAATGTAAATTGTCTTGTAAATGCTACAACATTTGATAGACAATTCAATCGATCCAATCGAATTCAATTCTCTCTCTTATCCACTTTCCCTAACTAACGCTAACGTTGTCACCGTCTAACTGTGGCTACAATTCCAACGCGTACAAAGAAATTTGGTGACTCATTTCTTTCTCGTACTATCCATAAATGGAATGCTTTGCCCGCTCACGTCTTCCCTGCCTCTTGCAACCTGGGATCCTTTAAAAGAGGCTTGAAGAAGCAACATGCAGGCCGGCAGGGTGAGGATGGCTGGTGTGGCAGGTAGAACTGCTGTATCAGCTATCTTCGCGTCTGGACTTCACCTTCACTTAACATCAGGTGGGGTGAAGTCATTTGTCGGACCTATCTATATAAGAAAAAAAATGAGATATACCTATAAATCATTAATAGTGTCAGACCACTAACACCACCACTGGCCGCGTGTTTATGTAATAATCTAGTTACACTTACAACTCTCATCCATCCCTAAGTAAGGATAGTCTTGACATGGCGCCAGAAGTTCAATCTCCAATTTTGTTAGGTCTCCGATATTATACATTTCCTTATTAGTATCCTGTATTACAGTAAATGTGTGTTTGCGTCTCCTCTTAAGCAACCTTTGGTGGGACTTTGTATTAAGTTTTCTCTTAACAATAAACGCATACCTTTCAACTGCGTTTGTTAAAATATTACACGATAGTGCGGTCGTCTGAAAGTTAAATTAAAAAATTATTTATAAATTAAAATTAACATAAAATCATGTCTTAACACCCAATACAATAACGAAGTGTTAGGTTATAATTTTTATTTTTTAAAGCATGTAACTGCTTGATGTTTAAACCTAAAGAGAATATAACTAGAAAAACTGGGGTTCGAGTCCCATCTGCTGCCTGGTCCGCGTGGAATTTTTTCTAGTTATATTCTCTTTAGAAGTGTTAGGTTGTTAGAAATTAAGTGACATTGCTTCTTTTTTATTCCCAGAAACTTCAATCATAATTTATTTTAATTTTATTGAAATAATTAAGTTTTTACATTTATAATAATTGAATGTGTTATTAACAATTGAGCACAGAAGTTACGCAATGAATCAGGACTCTACCAGCGGGATGCTTTTCTTTCCGACAAAGCAAAGTTATCGACTATGTCACATAAATTTTAATTTTTGGACAAATAGTTCAGCAGTTCGATTTGGTTACTTATTAAACCCATAAACTTTTGGTTCTTGGGTTAATTACATTTATATATGAATATCGCTATTTATATAAGTCAATTAAATTCCCATAAAAGATAATAAGTGAATAGTTGTGTCACAAATTATAATTAAAAATATAATTAGTGAATAGTTGTGCCACAAATTAGAAACTATCGAAAATGTGTTTATTATAACTGCTTAGAAAACTTTTAAGTAAATTATTTTATTGATGTTAATCCAGGGCAGTGCCATCTATTCGCATTGTAAGTAACCCACAATGTCAAACGAATACCTTTACAAGTATAATATACCTTTTCGAGGCTGTCTTGCAGCCCAAGAAATACTAGAAAGAATTTGACACGGCCATAAGGGCTACGGTAGCATAATGGTCAGTACATCCGCCCAGATAGCGGAGGATGCGGTCTGCTGCCTGGTCCGATTGGTAATTTTTTGTACATTTCTTTAGATCTGGACATCTAACAATTAAATACTTAAAAATAGATAAAATACTACAATTGCTATTTCGTCTTTCCAATGTTTAATACTTTTAAAGGTATTCGTTTGACGTTATGGGTTACCTACATTGCGACGAGATGGCGTTGCCTTGCAGCCTAAGAAATATAAAAAAGAATTCGACACGGCCAATAGGGCTGCGGTATCATAATGGTCAGTGCATCCGCCCGGGTAACGGAAAGTGCGAGTTCGAATCTCGTCTTATGCATGGTCTGCGTGGAATTTTGTCTAGTAAAATTTTCTTTTTCTGGGAATCTAATTCATAAAACTAAACCGAGCAAAATATCAGAACTATGTCATACTAAAATCTATAATTAAAGGATAGTTAGGATACTGCAAATATCATATTTAACAAATAAATCATTTTCTACTTACTTATCTACATACGAGAAGAGTATATTACTGTGTTTCTCTTATCGTTGTTGATAGGGAAAAAATATGTTGACGATTATTTTAGTAATTAACTTAAAATAATGCTTTTGGGTTTATTGGAGCTATTCTCATCTCACTCCACCTAGCAGAGGTTATCTTTAGATATTTATTACATAAATGGCAAAAAGGGCACCTCGGGATACTCTTGTATTGCAAGCATCCAATTCATCAATCAATCAATTCATCTATGCGTACAGGCTTTAATATTGTTTTCAGGAGTATTAATTAAGCTCAATTATGGACTTTTGCTACACAAGTTACAAAAAATATTATAATAATATATCTTCACTTTACTTAAATATTTTGTATGTTTTGTCTATAAGTATTTGTTTCTCACACGAAATTGAAGACAGTAGATAATTTGGTAGAATATTCAGCGCATCTCTAATAAAACATACAATAATATTTTGTTTATAAACATTCTACTTGTACATATTTATATGGAATTTTATCAGAAAAATATCAGTTTGACCCATGACATGACCGTAACCTTTCGCTTGTTCGGGGCGCGATCGCTACCAATACGAAGAAGATTATTTTATGCCTGCGGATATTTTTTTTCTGCATTATTACATGTACAAAAAAAATACAAATATGGCAGCAGCTAATTTATGCCAGTATTAAAACGAGGTCAACCTCGGAATGAGATATAATAAGCTACCAAATATTTTTGCGTTTCTAAAGTTGTCTCATAATATCTAATTCAATGTCGCGTCTGCATCAAGCAATCCAAGTTATTCAAGAACAAAGGTCGCTATAATCTGGTTTTTGGGGATTATCTAGGTTTATAAACTCCCGATGACATTAACATTATGTAAATCTTAAGTTAAAGAGTTTGTTTGTTTTATTGGAAACGCTTATCTCGAGAACTAGTGGTCGCATATGAAAAATATCTACAGAGGTAGATAATAAGATAAGAAATATCATGCATCGATCGATCGAAGCAAAAATTAAAAATATTGCAAAAACGGGAAAAACATCATTTTCTTCTTCTATATATTTCTGGATCTCTATATAGACTTCGTTATTTCTGGACTGAGAAGTTGGAAAATTAATATTATAACGGTTAAAATAGATTTTATAGTTTAAGAAGAGTATTAGTCGTTCAACTTATGTGTTGGAAATTTCTGACCTAATAAAAAAATCCTTAGAAGAAAACATTAAAAGTTACTTAGACGAAGTAATTACTTAAAATATAGGCTCTTTCCAAAATATATTGTAGTGACGACATGCAACTACGGAACCCTACACTGCGCGTGGCACAACACCCACTTGGCCGGTTTATATTTGTCAGTTAATAACATCATCGGAGCTACAGAAACCTTTATAATCGCGGAAAAAATCTTTTCAAATACTTGATTTTAAATAACTTATGTCGCAGATGTAACGTTGATTCTAAGGGACTTTTGAAGCAACTTATAAAAACACAGTGTTTACGATTTACTAGTATACTATTCCTCTTTCCGAGGTGGAACGCTAAAATTACTAGGCTATTTCATAAAATCAATCTTAAATAAATGACTACGACCTACTTAGGTCGAGACCAAACATTTATCTATGAAATCAATATTTTCGCCAATTTATTTTTCACTCCATAATGATTGTTTATTCTAACAATACAAGAATAGGTACATAAACGGAATTTTACTTACATTTATTTCAAAATTTGCAGGATTGAAAGTCATATAAAATTTTTCCTTGTTTTCGTATTGTGGTTTTGGCCACACTTCACCTTTTGTTGGAGGATATCTTGGTCCAGGATCAACTACATACATTCCACTTGCTAAAGCAATACAAAATTCAAGACAAAATAAAATATTTTTAAACATTTTGGCGGGAAATATTGAATAGGTGCAATAAATAAAATTAAACTTGTAATAATTCTCTTGAATGAAATGAAAGAAATCTATTATTGTTTGAAACACTTGAGACTAAAACACATAATCATCTTTACGACTAGTCAATGTAAAGATTACTAATAACGAGCAGTGAACAGAATATTACTCGACTTGATTGAAAGACTTTAACTTTAATACTAGCAATTTAACAATAAGTCACTCTGATGTTGTTGAAGCTTGCAGAATGTATTGCTAATCTGTGATAGACCGCCTTAAATATTATTATTTATGTATGTAGCTAAGTTAAATATTTTAATGTAAACAAATAAGTCAAAATTATTAAAACATCTCTATTTAATTAAAAACAAAAATATAATTGTTTGAAAACTAAAAACAAAACCGATAACGAATCGTAATTTTTTCCCATAAATATCGGTTTGTAATCAATTCAAGTTCATTGTGCGTCTATTGTCTATGGTAACTGAGCTGTTTTAAGGATGTCCCGACCACACCATTGTATCGATACCTACTCATTGAATACTCTAGTTCTCAACTCGTGAGACGACAGTAATCATATTATATAAAACTTAACCTAAACAAATAAAATGCATTCTACTGACTTTATTTATTTTTACAAATCAAAAGTAGTGTAGTGTTTAAAGTATGGCCAACCAACACCAACCTAGTTTATCTACGTGCCTATTTTCGTTACCTAAGCACTTAAAAAGTTAAATCGCTTAGAAATAATTAAATTTGGATGCAATAATTGTTTAAACTTATAAAACACACTGCACAATATCCTGCTGCGTTTAAGGATTCCCCATTTTTAAATCGTTCGGATTGGTGTAGTAAGGGACGTACATATCTTGCACGAGTGTCACTGCTCGCTCGTGAGTTCCCACTGAATTTGGCGATCTGGAAAGGCCTTCACGCACTATTCAGTAATCTGTGGTACGTTTTCGATGCCTACACGGGAGTGAGACAGGACTAGCAATAGGTAGAGTGAATTAGGAGGTTTTTTGTTGGAGGTCAGTTTATGTGTGTAAAAGTTTAACTTTTATCATTATTAATAAAAGAAGTCCTTCTTTGGCTGGTAATTGAACCCAGACCACCCACGAATCAGGCGTGCTTTAAACCACTGAGCCACAGTTACTAGTTTATTAGGTAGAAATGTTTCATAATTATTAGAGATGTAATCCGACATGCTAAATATGAAGGAAAAAAATTGTGGCGATGTAATAAAAGTTTTACTTTAAAACCAGGACATGATTATAGTATCTGTAAAACTATAGCCAAAGTCGAAGTGAAGGTTCGTAAGTCTCCTTTTAAACATAATTTTGCTCATGTTGATGTCTAATCGAGAGTCATTTTAAAATTTTTTTTTTAGATCAATCCACGATGCGTTCGCAATTAAACGATGCTGTTAGTTACAAAACAAATCATTTTCTGTCGATATTGATCGAAAATAAAATTCGTTTCTCACTATAGTGAAATTAATAGGTTACGTACGATCAAATGTATCGAACAATCGAGTCGTTGGAACATCCTTATGCTATTGACGTTTCAATCCAGGATTTGGGGGCGGTATCGCCTTATTATCTAAATTTCCTCTAAAAATGAGAATAATAGGTAGTTTACGGTAACTAGTTTGTAAAGTAAAATAGTATTTGAGTCTAATGCCTACTGTTGGACCACAATAGGTAAGTCATGAAATAAAATATTGATAGAATTGCCAACTAAACTTCAGTGGCCATATCCTGTCTATTGATTCTAATTTGATTCACTTATCCCTGTTTCTATGCTTGTACCTTCTAGCAACAAAGAGGGCTATACATACATATACACATACACACATATATACATACATCATTATGTTTCTATAGATTAATTAATTTAAATGCTTATTAATATGGGGGTAGTTTCTTAGTACTTGTAATGGTTGTCTTTAGATTCCTACAAATAACTGAAAAGGAATGTGCTTTTGAAGCTAGAACCCTCTACTCCTACTGTATAGATGTGATTGTTGGTGTTTTTATTATTAGTTTTAAAGTTGTTTATTAATCATCATCAGGAAACCTTGGCCACTAACCCCAAGGTTGTTGAAAGAAAACAGTACCTAAATCTATAATTTATTATTGTTTGCTGAGTTTTCTGAGTTAAAAAAAAAGATCATATAGAAAATGTTGTACTACATAGTAAACTATAAAAATGAAAGAAAAAACAGAATTATTCAAGTAAATCAATAATCCTACGTCAACTATAACGTAAACAATACAAAATTTTATGGGAGTTGATCTGCCAAAAATAACATTTCTCATCATGTCCAATTTATGTATGATTATTTTGTATTACTTAAGTGACTAAAATATTTCCCCTTCGAAGCTAGAAAAGTAACTGAGAATATGACCATATCTCTTAACTATAAAATTTAAAAGAATGGGAGTATTGAGGGATTAGTGGTTGTGTTGTTTTGATTATCCTTGTATGATTTCCATAAAATATTTATTTGACTTTTTGACTTAGGAATAGAAAATAAAGGATATTTTTTTCATTATACTTAATTTGAGTTTGAGTTTGAGCCAGATCAAGGCTTGTATTACAGAATGACAACTAAGTGCTGATCTTTACTTGAGTGCAGTTAGAATGGGATATATAGCACATAGCGACATCTCTTTCTGACTATGCTCAGATTAATATCAGATTAATTACTGAGAATCTTTTTAAAATACGGGCCTAAGTAATTTTGCTTTGTACAGTGTCTGAGAGCAAAACTATTGCTCATCCTTTATTTGAGTCTTTTCCCTGATATTCGCCATTCACCACATAATTTCACTGATCTTCTCCTTCACTAATACTCTAGAGAATGTTGAGATTTTTTTTAATATTGTTTTAATTACTTTTTAATGTGAATGTATAACACCACAATGGACATCACAGATTAATGACTGTTTGGTAAAACTTTAAATGCTTCTACTGAAAAAATAGCTTTATTGGTTAGTGTCACTCTTCTTATCAATGTGCGATATGTAAAAGAATTACGATATTAAATTTTACGTAATTTTAAGTAAATATGTAAGTGCATAAAATGTTTCAGTCTGTGAAATCTTAACTGGTTTATTGTAAAAAACTGTTTAACTGTTGTGTGTTGTTTCCCAAATGAAAATAAATAGATATTCTTATTCTTTTACAAATTAGGTTGTAGGATATTAATTTTGGAATTTTACAGCAACTATGCTATAATGTTTAAGATTTTTTTCGTTTCAGGCCTAAGTCAGGATGATTGGGGGCCTGTTTGTGTACAACCATAAGGGTGAGGTGCTGATCTCCCGCGTGTACCGGGATGACATTGGTCGGAATGCTGTTGATGCGTTCCGTGTGAATGTGATTCATGCTCGCCAGCAAGTTCGATCACCCGTCACCAACATTGCGAGAACCTCATTCTTCCATATTAAGGTACAATGACTGCCAATATTTTTTTTACTAACAATGTTGTTCATATGATGTAAAAAGAAATTCGCCGTATATTATAAGTTATCTATTCTATTTTTTGATTTCATCATCACACACAGATTGAAGTAATTTTATAAGGATTTTTTATGTAATGTAAACATTCCTAAAGAAGTGGTATTTTCCCATACATCCCATATAATTTTTTTATATACATTTGTGTATAATTTGTTGTATTGTATTGTATACAGTAGCCCCGCGGTAATTCGGACCCCGTCTAATCCGGCGCTTCCTGTAATCCGACACACTGTTGATTTGCGCATAAAACCAATTGAAATAGATTTTTAGATATGTCATTTGTCGGATTACTAGATAAGGAAATTCCCGACTGTAGAAGTTGCTTTTAGACTGAGATCATCCGACATCGCCCTGCATAACGGTTGTCGGATTACTGCAGGTCTACTGTATTATTATATATATATTTGTAGAAGAATAATAAAGATTTTTGTATTTTGTATTTGTATTTGTATTTATATTAATTTATTATCCATGAGCTTTTTCTGTCATCGTATCTATAATTTTTACTAAACGTTGACCGGCACAGAATGCTTTAGTATCAGTCCAACTTTTGTACTGATTTTAGTTGTCAATAAAGTTTTGCTTATTCATTTATCTCCAAAGCTTTATAGGGCTCTCTGATTATTGTATTAACCTATTTATTTATTTAACAGCGTGCCAACATTTGGTTGGCTGCCGTTACCAAGCAGAATGTCAACGCTGCCATGGTGTTTGAGTTCCTACTTAAGATCATAGATGTTATGCAGTCATACTTCGGCAAGATCTCTGAAGAGAACATCAAGAACAACTTCGTTCTAATCTATGAGCTCCTTGATGGTATGTGAAAGAATTTTAAGTAAATATTTCTTAATAAACTACCTTTTTACAATTGTTATTAAATTGTTATTTTGTCATATAACTTGCAGAGATCCTAGACTTTGGGTATCCTCAAAATTCAGACACAGGTGTGCTAAAAACATTTATTACTCAACAAGGGATCAAATCTGCATCTAAAGAGGAGCAGGCACAGATCACATCACAGGTTTGTTTGTCATTTTTATGTAACAAGACATTATCATTATCACTTCTCCACTGTTTTATTTCATTTGATGACTTGAATGGGGTGGTATGGCAAGGGCCACCACAGATTTGTTAATATTGATTATAATAATATGACTGTGAATAACTTTGGTCAACTTTTGAAGCATGTTTTGCATGAAAGAGTGTGAGATTTTTGAATGGTTAAAATTTAAATGGAAAAGAACTATAGAAAGCTAATATGTAGTAATTTATTAAATATATTAGTTACATTATTTTGCATTGAAAACATATTATTATTAGCTTGTTAAGCTAGTTAAATTATATTAGTCAACGAATTAGAAATGAAATGGAAGCATCACTTTCTAACTAAGGCCACTAAAACATGGTTTCTAATCCATACTTATACAGCTAAACTTTAATATTAACGCGACACAGACAAAACAAAATAATTTCACAAACACAATCTGCAAATGAATTCGACTAACCATTTATCAGCTCAGATGATGTTAAACGGAAATTACAACCAATGCCATGATGGGCGTGTTGATCGCATTTTTTTCGCCCTGCCCATTTCATCGCAGTTTTCGTGGAACCACTTTTTAGTCTTCTTTCAGAGATCAACTCTGTGTGCCTTTTGGCAAAGGCCTTATCCAACTCTTTCCAATTCTTCCTCTCCCTAGCCAGCCTTGTCCAAGTTTTCCCCGCTAACTTAACTATGCCTTCCTCCCATTACTTGAGTGGTTTCCCTTTCTTTCTCTTTCCCTCTCTTGGCTGTAAGTTACTGACTTGCTCAATTTTTCTTCACCTCTTACTATGTGGCCAGCCCGTTTCCATTTAAGACTGCTCAATGTCAATAAAACATCACGAGCTTTTGTTGACTTTGTAATGGTGCTGTGTCTGATTTATTCTATTCTTCTTTTGCCTAGCATGCTTCGTTCCATTGCCCGTTGACATGTTTTTAGTTTATTTTCCTGGGCAACCATATGTTAGAATAGGGAGGATATAGGTGTCTAGTTTTAGTTTAGTTTTTCAGGGCGGTTTCCGCACTTAGTCCTAATCGTTGGACCATTGTGCGTGTCTCGAAGCATTCGCGTTTACTCCAGCCAGCCTTGGTGGGTAAACGTCAAGTTTAGAGGGTAGTTAGCTATTTTTATTTTGTAAAATATTCTTATAGCACTGATGTATTTCACTGCTTTCGCGAAAATCACTTCGGATTTCTACCGAATTTTCTCAGTTACTGCTTTTGGTAGGTAACTTTGTGTTTAACTGCATCAGTTTTGGCGAAATTCTTAGATTTGATGGCACTTTTTAGAAAAATAATTAGGGGACTTGAAATACGCGTATTTGAGTTGACAGATCGGAACCGGAAATTCCATATATTATCGTATTCCGTTCGTATAACTAAAAAGTCATGTGAAAAATTCTCCGATGAGCAAAGGATATTATTGAGCCCAAGATTACTTAAATGATCAAAGTCTTCTTATTAAATTCACAACTAACTATGTAACCAACGTAATTAAATACTAGTTACAACAACATAAACAACATCGTAGCCAAAACCTGTCCAAAAGGTACATTGGACGAATGTAGTCTAAGGCCCGTATTATAGAAAGATTCTCAGTGATTGATCTAGTCTTGAGCATAGTTAGAAAGGGATGTCGCTATATATAGCACATAGCGGCATCCCTTTCTAACTGTACTCAAGTAAAGATCAACACTTAGTTGTCATTCTGTAATACGGGCCTAAGTATAAGGTCTTCATAAGAAGTGCTTGAGTCGTGTTCAAGTACTTCTTGATTGGGACACATTTTGAGCGCACATGGTGTATCTAGGGTACTTAATATCGTTGTTTGTTACACATAATTAATTTATCTGATTTATTGTATTGGTAGCGATATTATGTAATTTTATGTAAATGTTACATGTAACATCTGTTAATGATGATAGGTTTCTTTCGCCCATTCTTCTTATCAGTGAAAAGATGTCCTCATTGGGTGGTAGGGAAAAATATTGGACGATTCAAAAGAGCTTTCTATAAGCCAATTTGAATAAAGTATAATTTCATTTCATATAATTTCTTATTCGTTGAGTATACAGTAATGAAAATTCCTTTCGTCACTTAGGTCACAGGGCAGATAGGATGGCGTCGCGAAGGCATCAAGTACAGGCGGAACGAGCTATTCCTAGACGTGCTTGAGTATGTCAACTTGCTGATGTCACCGCAAGGTAAGCAAGAAAATCGTGGTAAGCAAGCAACAGGTCAACATAGTATAGGCAAAAAATTATAATAAGTCTTCTCTAAAACCAGAACCTAGTGAAATGTTTTCTAGTACTTACCTTCTTTTTTTATTTATAAATTTAGCAATTCCCACAAGGCCCTTATAACCTGTGTTTGAGAGGGGCACAGACCTTTTCTATGGGTAGAACGCGGGACCAGTGCTGATTGGTGGGTGCTAACGACTACAGATACAAACCGGGACCAAAAGTTAAACGTTCCTTCCGAAGCACAAACTTTTTCGCTAAAAGTTTTGACTGCTAATAAGCTGCTAAGTCATTTAACCAAAACCTAGTGAAATATTTTCTAGTACTTTTTTTTGATTTATAAATTTAACAATTAAATCATCATCATCATCATCGGCCTATTAATGTCCCCACTGCTGGGGTACAGGTCTTCCCTAAAGGTGGAATAGGGAGAGTAGGCCATGACCAACTGACCAACCACGCGGGCCCAGTGCGGATTGGTGGGTGCTAACGACTGCCGATGCAGCCGGGACCAACGGCCTAACGTACCTATTTTTAGAGGTTACAGTTTCGCAAATATAGTATTTTCGAAACTGTTACCTCTTAAAATATAGTAGATGGCAAAAAATAGTAATATATTTGAAATGAATATATTTTTGCTGTTATATGCCTTTACAATTAAATTTTATTTTCAAGAAAGCTTTTACTGGCAAAAGTCTGTTTTAAGCAAAATACCGTAGTTTAGCCTACAATTTTTTTTAGAAATGTAGTATTTGATCCCCTAATATAGTAGGATAATATATTATATAGTAGGGTTGGCAACCCTTAGTAAGGGCGAGCCGGCGACATCGGTACGCGTAAAACGGTTTATGATCACCCTTCTAAACTCTTTTTGTATTCTGTGGTGCCCCTGCAGTGGGGCAATAGGCTGATAATGATAGAATTAATTAAACATTAATCTTTGAACATTGTTTTATAAGGACAAGTGTTATCAGCACATGTGGCCGGTAAAGTGGTGATGAAGTCTTACCTCTCCGGTATGCCCGAGTGCAAGTTTGGCATCAACGACAAAATCGTCATGGAGGCCAAAGGGAAAGGGAACGGTGAGTTTTGTACAAATTATATCCTAATCTAACTTAGACTTTTATTATATTGTTTTTGTATGTATGTCAGTGCTGGTTTTAAATGATGATATTTCTTTAATTTTTTTTAATTTTTAACTGCTCGATGTTTATATTGGGTGCGGGTTCGAGTCCCGTCTGCTGTGGAATTTTTTTCTAGTAATACATATTTTCTTTAGATTATATTTCTTACTTTTTTTTACCATAAAAAATGTGTCCTGAATGGATAGGAAAATTCAGCATTGCATTGAGCTATTTAAAAGAGCTTTTAATGAGCCAATTTTCATTGAATACAGTTTTGTTTCATTTGAACAACTTAGTGAACAACAGGGGGCAAAGTATTGGCTGAATTATGTGTTTGTATGACAGCTAAGGCATTTTTTGTATGTATATATGTCATAAGGTGATTTGATAAATTGAATTTCGAGAAAATTTACTACCTGCATTTAGCTATTCAAAAGAGCTTTTAATGAGTCAATTTTCATTGATTACAGTTTTATTTCATTTGAACAACTTAGAGAACAGCAGTGGGCAAAGTATTGGTTGAATTATATGTTTGTATGACAGCAAAGCCAATTTTTGTATGTATATAAGTCGTAGGGTGGTTTGACAAATTTAATTTCGAGAAAATCTTTGGAATTTTGCAAAAACACTGATAATTAGACAATCGCGATGATATTTCTCAATCTTACTCTAAAAACATGTGATTTTTGCGAAAATGCGAGTCGCCTCAGTAAGATTGGAAAAAGAATCATTGGCTTGTTATAAAAAATCTTGGGTTGTTGGGTCTTGGGTTCACACTAGTTTTGGTTAGTACTGTGACCATTACGCGCGCGAGAAAAAAAAATGGTTAACAGTAAGAAGGCAATGTCATCGCCACTGTGAAATGATCCGCGTTTCCCCAAAATTCCTAGAATTTTTGAGAAAATTCCTAGAATATTTAAGAAAATTCGATTTATCAAATCATCCTACCACATATACAATAGGCAAAATATTAATCACAAATTTACCCCTTAAATTCTCGAGAAAGACCGCCTTCTTATTCCAAACCACGGACTAAAGTTAGTCTTGGTTTTAAATCTAATGTTGTCTCTGTCTTCTCATTAGCAAACAAAAGTGACGGCATCAGTTTTAGTCCAGGTTTGAGTTTAGTCTACGTTTTTTAATTATATGGTAAGAGTTTAATAAACTTGTTTTATTGAATGCTAGGCAGGAAATAGGTTTAATTAACCTAATGTTTCCTCTAAGTTAATGACGATGATGAAGTTAATTCAAATGTCAAAGACATTGAAATACATCAACGAAAGTGTAAATTCATAATATAATGGCAAGTAATACACATAAAAAACGTGAAATATACATACACAAATACAAACACACACAACTACACAAACATACACACACAATAACTTTTTTTTATTGTTATGTTATTATTTGTTTCTTAAGCGCTAATCATTTTAATGAATATATTGATCACATAAATGGTACAAAGTTGGCTTGTTCTGTTCATGTAGTTTTGGGAGGGGAAGCTCGGTGACTTCTAGAACATGTTTATCCTATTGCAAGCACCAGTATTCACATTAAGTAATCAAATATGGGTATATGAGTTTTTTTCCTACTTATGTGAAGAAATGAATAGAAATTTTTAAATTTATTTTATTTTATCTTTATTATGTATGCAGGCGGCATATCTGGCAACACCGACAGCGACCCGGCCCGCTCTGGCAAGCCGGTGGTGGTGATTGACGATTGCCAGTTCCACCAGTGCGTCAAATTGAGCAAATTCGAAACGGAACACTCCATCTCTTTTATACCACCCGACGGGGAATTCGAGCTCATGAGGTAATCATTATGATTTGACACTTAAGTCAATTAGTACTTTATCAATACTTATTGAGTTCCACTCAATCACAGCTTTTGTTTACAATAGGGTATTTGACAAGATTTAGAAAACGATCTCACGTTATTTACTAATGTTTATAGAGTCCATAAATAGTGGAAATTCATCATTATGTTGTGTATTTCGGTAAAAATACCAAATCAAAAACTCTATTTTCAAGTTGCCGCGAAAAACGTATCTCTGGACAATATGGCGTCTCACTGGTGTGTGACGTCACACGACTGTCATTAAAACGTCAAACATAACTGTAAAAAGAGTAAAAACTCCTGCCAATATTCATTCTAAATACAGATGCTAACAATTGGCACTTTATTTTTAATACTATTAAATACCCTATTACGTATTTAGTTGTAGTCTGCAGCCCTACAGTTGTTAGTTAAAGTGTTCTTATTTTCAGTATAATTTTCAATTTTTTTCCGTAAGAACCTTCTACGAAATACAAAGTGAAAAATGATAAAGTTGTTAAAGTTAGGTTATGGTGTAACTAAGTTAAATGGGAATTATTATTTTCTCTTTCCTCTCGCTTTCCCGCAATTTATGGGAGTGATTTTGTGAAATGGGACGGAAGTGTGTAACAGGAAGTCGCGAAAGCGCGCGCTATTTTATTTAATTTTAGAACATAATGTTCAAATGGCTTATTCCTTTTGTAGTAGGTTTTATTTCTTTTTTTACTAATATAAGGTGAGGTTTCAAATGTTACACATCATACGCGACTACTGTAAGGCTCGCTCGATTTTCTTATATTTGTCGTGGCCGGCAGTAGTAGCTTAGCTTAGTGGCTTCCCTCTATTCGATTGGTGGCTGCGTCTAGTGGCTTGTCTGAGACACTAGTAGTCGCGTTTAGAGGCTCAATGGGTTCGATTCTGGCTTGATTTGAAAACCGTGTATCCTTGTCATTCTCTATACAGAATGAAAAGGAGAGACTGATGTTAAATTTAGTCTTAAGTTTAGAGAATCGTGCCAGAATCGACACCAATGTTTTTTTTTTATAGACAGGTAGGCAAAAGACTCCACCCCACCTGTGTTTGTGTTTAAAAGATATAAAAGTTTTGACCTTCAGGTTTAATATCTATACATATAATAAAATGGTAGGGAAGTCAAAACTAAACATTAATATATTTTTTAAAAGAATACTTGGTGTGTGATCTACAATCAATACCGAAGCTAAAAATTTGAAGTTTGTCTGTATGTATGTCCGGGATAAACTCAAAAAGTACTGCATGGATTTACTTCAAAGGACATTGGGCAAAAATGTATGGACGCTGCACCCACGTCCGCCACGGCTTAAACTACATTTGCTTGAAAGGTATTATAGTCATGATCATTTGTGCCAAAGCGCATCAAATTCCATCCCGGGAGTCATTAGTTATTTTAAGTTAAATAGGTACAAGTACTATGACGAACGAACATTAATGAAACAAGGGAATTAATTTAGTTAGTTCGACACTACATAGGGGGCTCAGGTATTATGGGCTCAGCACTTCACAAGGTTCAAGGGTTTGACAAAACCGATAATTGTGTTGCAATATCCAAAGCGTGTTAGATAAAAATCAATCAAGTGACAGGGAGCGCACAATCACAACGAAGTAAGACGAGTCGACTATTTGCAACTGCAAGTCCTTGAACCCCCGTAAACCGTTTTGAGGTGGCTCAGTAAGTGCAAGCGCAGGATGGATCGGCAGGCTTTGTTGTATATCTGGTTCTTTAATACGATATGGCATATTATTTTGGTTACTAATAATATAAAATGAATTTATTTAGATAGTTAAATATGCCCATGTGTCATATCTTTTGACTAGGTACCAGGATATTTTTTTACAGTGTCATATCTTTTGACTCGCAGGATATTTTTTTACGGTGTCATAACAAAAAAGGCTAGTTTTTCATAGATCTATCGATTAATACTAATTACATTGTTGGCGGAGCTAGGTGTGTTTTGCCCATTGTCCTTTGGCACAAATATTATTAAGAAGTTGGGTCAACATATAGGCTACATATTATCACGCTATCACCTACGGGGAACGAGCAGTGAACTTTTATTTATAACTAACTCCACGCGCACAGAGTCGCGGGCGGCCGCTAGTATAATAATATAATTTATTTATTCCATCCAAGGTACCGTACCACAAAGGATATATCGTTGCCGTTCCGCGTAATCCCTCTAGTGCGTGAAGTTGGCCGCACCAAGATGGAAGTGAAGGTGGTTCTGAAGAGCAACTTCAAGCCGTCCCTGCTCGGACAGAAGATTGAAGTGAAGATACCAACCCCTTTGAACACTAGCGGGGTGCAACTGATATGTTTGAAGGGCAAAGCGAAGTATAAGGCTTCGGAGAACGCCATCGTTTGGAAGTGAGTGTTATGTAAATAAAACTGATATCATCACCAGCCTATTGACGTCCCCACTGCTGGGGCACAGGCCTTCCTTATGGATGGAATAGGGTGATTGGGCCATGACCCACCACGAGGGCCCAGTGCGGATTGGTAGGTGCTAACGACTGCAGATGCAGCCGGGACCAAACGAGTAACGTGCCTTCCGAAGCACGGAGGAGTTCGAGATAGTAAATTTTTGGTCATCCATCCAATGACCGACCACTGCGAAAGTTGCTTAGCTAACCGAACCACTTGGAACATCGAGCTCCTCGACCTTGGATATACATAGTTTCATTTCAATTATTAAAATGGTTCACAATATTTTTTTACTACAAAAATGTCTACTTGGTCAAGGCTAGATTCGAACCAGCTTCCTTCGCTATCCGGTCATGTAAGATATTACCGATACCTTAGTGGCAGTGTCAAATTTCTGATAGTATTTCTTTGAATGCAGTAAGGCAGCACCAACTCTTTGCGTTAAAAAAAGGAGAGATTTATGTTAAATTTAGTTTTAAGTTTAAAGAATCACGCCAGAATCGACACTACTGTACACTATTACTAAGAATCAATATATCTTTATTCAAATTGGATGTATAGTACAACCCTATTGAACCGTTATTGGACATATTATTTAGCTGCGGAGAAAAACGAGCGAAAAAAACTCCACAACATTAAAAGTATAATGTAACAACATTTACAAATCATTATGTTGTTACAAAGTCAATACAATCATGATTTATTTAATTTAATATAGAAAACCTGTTGGAATGATTGGAACAGTTCAAACCAAAGCATTTTTGTCTGTAGTACTATCAGACATTTTGTCATAAGCTTTTTTAATAAGTGCTTTATCATATTAATGAATGATATTGATATTAACGATATGTATGATGTATAATACAAGCCTGAGAACAAAATCTTTAGTCTACACCGTAGCAAAATAACAAAAGAATGCTTTACCTATGTACACTTCTGTATTAAATAAATAAATATTTCCAACACTCACACCAATTAGCCTAGCACGTAAGCACTATAGGCTTATGTTACGGGATACTAGGGTAACGGATAGAATACATATTATACAGATACATATATAAGTATATTTATATAGATACACATATTAAACATCCATGACGACAAATGCTCTTACAAAGGTCGTCAAATTAAATATAATGTTTCTTTGACCATCAGAATTAAACGCATGGCCGGCATGAAAGAGACGCAGCTATCTGCTGAGATCGAGCTTCTGGAAACAGACACGAAGAAGAAATGGACCCGCCCGCCCATCTCCATGGGATTCGAGGTGCCTTTCGCGCCTTCAGGGTTCAAGGTTAGAGAAAGCTCGTTTCGGTATGGATATTTTTTATCGGCTCGTTTCGGTATGAATATTTTTTACCGGCTCGTTTCGGTATGGATATTTTTGACCGGGTCGCTTCAGTATGGATATTTTTAACCGGGTCGCTTCGGTAATTATATTTATACCGGCTCGTTTTGGTATGGATATTTTTTACCAGGTCGCTTCAGTATGGATATTTTTTACCGGGTCGCTTCGGTAAGGATATTTATACCGGCTCATTTCGGTATGAGTATTTTACACACTACACCAAACACACGTGCACATTCATACACACAAATTTAGTTATCATGCTCCACAAATTCATATACACAAATTTAGTTATCGCTCATGAATTTGAATCTTTGTTGGTATTTCTTTCATATTATTGTTAATTTGTAATTTTTGAATAGAATACAAAGTGAGTTTCTGTAATTGGCTAAAGTGCCGTTTAAAAAAAAAATATTTGATTTTATTGTGTAAAACGCTGTTGAAACTTGGTTGATTATAAATAAATAAATAATAATATTTACTTTTATGTCTCAACATAATCACAATGTTCACAATGTGGGTAGTAATAATGGCTACATCCATATTTGTTTCTTAGGTTTTCACGCACATCACTCATTAAATAAAACTAGTTTTAACGGATTAATGCACGAATTTTATTTATTTATTGACGTTTCGCAGCCTTTTCAGGTCTGCATCGTCAGAATAATGCTTTTTTTTTATTTACTTTGTCGAGCTACCTCCGAAAGCCTTTTATTGAGCGTTCGGATGTTTCATTGGAAGATTTCTAAAATTTTATTGTCTATGTATGAATTTATTAGTTAATTTAGTTAATAAAGAACTTTATTTAAAATTCTTTTTTGTAATATTGAGTTTATTTATTTGACCGTTAGGGTCAACTGTACCGTAAACTACCACCGGTTCCAAAATTCGGTGACCTTTCTGAGAAGAACCGGCGAAACAAACTCAGAGAGGCTTTCTATCATTCATTTTTTACCAAAAAATCACAGCTTAGTATCTATCAGACTATGGTTGACACCTGAACTATGAATAATCGGCGCCATTTTATCACCAATCTTAGAAAGGAATCGTATTAATCTCCGTTTTTGTCCACAGGTTCGTTACTTGAAAGTGTTCGAACCGAAATTGAACTATTCGGATCACGACGTGATCAAATGGGTGCGGTACATCGGCCGTTCCGGACTATACGAGACCAGATGCTAAGACTCACGGCACAAGGTAATAAAACTTTAATAAGGTATTTGACGTCACGTTATTTACTCATGTTCTCCATAAGTCCATAAAAAATGTTTTTTTTTACACCACACACCAATTAGCCTAGCCCAGGGATGGCAAACCAATGGCAATCATACATAAATATAAAAATTAAACCTAGTCAGTTTAATTAACATCAAACATGACATGCCGCATCTAGAATCGATCCCAAACAGATAGTTTACTGTACATCTGTGATTGCCTAGTGCAACTGTGCGAGTTGCGATTCAAATTTCGATCTACCCACGTTCATTTCATTATTGTATGTGTACGCTCAAGTGTTATATGCATTACGTTAAAACTTAATTTTTCTCAGTAAGTGAATTGTATTATTGTTTTTGAGAAATAAAATTCTTCAACCATATGGCACTCGTGCCCTGAATGGCACGTGACACAATTTTTAGGGCACGTCACTGATCACAAAATTCATTATACACTACGTAACATCTTTTAGGAATCCCCCCCTTTACTTAAAAACTGTCCTACTTAAGTTCTTTCCCGGAAATCAAAGTATTTATATACCAAATTTCATCTTAATCGCTTCAGCGATTTAAGCCTGATAAGGTATACAAACAGACACACTTTCGCATTTATAATATTAGAGTGGAATATAATACATACTGATAACCCATACGGTTATTATTATCCCAATTAACTGCTACATTTACGAAACTAAAGAAAATATTTACAAGAAAAAAATCCACTCAAACCGGAATTCAGACATTATTGGATAGCTTACATCTCAATTTATAGACTCAATATTATTTTATTGCAAATAATTATTGATTATTATTATTTGGGCGGTACGAAGGTCGCCGAGTCACCTAGTATTATATAAATAGCCATGACTTTAGGTACAAATGCTTGTATTAATTAATTATACAAATATTTTCCCCATCGGAATTCGAACCCAGGACCTGCGAGTAGGCGACAAAGCCGATGTTCATACCATTGGCCCGTATTACAGAATGACAACTAAGTGTTGATCTTTACTTGAGTACAGTTAGAAAGGGATGTCGCTATGTGCTATATATAGCGACATCCCTTTCTAACTATGCTCAAGACTAGACCAATCACTGAGAATCTTTCTATAATACGGGCCATTGACACCATGGCAGTCGTCATATTTTCGTTTTTTTTATAAATAAAGATAGGATTATAATCATTGTTTTTTCTTTCCTTAGGATGCTGCTATCCTAGGATTTGCGAACGAATGGACTTTGACAGTAAAGGCATGTTACATAATACATATAATATAGTTTTGTATATAATTTCAGAAATCAAATTACCAGCTCTGCATACGTAGATTCTATTTAATAATTCAAAACAAAATTTTCTAAAAATTATAATTTAATATTTTTATTACCAAAAATGAAAATGCGTTTATTTTTTTACATTTGTGGATTATATCATGCAGTATTATTTAATAAAGTGTACGGAACTTTAATTCATTTAAATTACGTTAATAAGAGGTACAGAAAAATTACATATTATTATTTTAAACCACCATTCCTTTTATCTTTATTGCAAGTTATACATATAAAGTTTATGATATTATGGTGGATTTACATAATATATTTTTTGTTTTTATTAAATGAGTTCATATCTTTTATAAACCTGTCTTGTATAACAGAAACAACTATGTTTTAAGCAGCTCCAAATTAGAATTAAAAAGGTGATACATTATGTTTTTTGGGAATCTCGTATTTAAAAAAAAAACTGTAATTTGAAATGTATTTATCTAGAGAACGCAATGTATTGGGTTATTTTTTAAGTATGTCAGGTTACATACAAATGAACGGTCTATTTGTACTACTGTATTATGTCATAATATAATAATTTGTAATAGTTAAAGTTGCGAACAATAATTGCAACTACATACATTTCATAGAAAAAATAGCGATTCTAAGATAAAAAAACACTTCTTTTCTTAAGTACGTCAGTATATGGTATGTGAGATATCTAAGCTCGACTTTATGTATAAACTTTTAAGGTTTGTTATCAAATAACAAGTATTAAGACGAATGTTATTAGTAGCTGATATATGCTAGCATATATCATGTAAAGACTTAGATTAAAACAAAAAGGGAAGATACGGCTCTCGCGGCTCAAAAGTGATCCGCTTAACTTGTGGTGCATGACCTCAATTCGCTTTAGTCACAATTGGACATTTAAACACGCTGCATGTGCACTCAATATAATAATATTGCGTATATTCTGTGTTATAAAAGATAAAACAATGCCTTCGATGCTTTTATAAATAACACAAATAGTTCAAGATCAAATAACAATTTCACGGCAACACTTTTCATTCGTAAAACTAGTAAAATCATGGTTTGTCATGTTATTTACGTTTTTGCCATTTGTTATCAAGAAAAGGACAACAATACAGTTCAGCCGTTTGTAGAGAGAGAAAAGAAAACGCAGTCGCCGTTTCGCTCGCGTTGCGTTGATGCTTATAGTTCTGTCTCGCTCGCTCGATTGAACGTTTAATACAGAAGTGTGCGTGCGTGACAGTTGCTTATGTAGTTGAGTCGGAGCATATTTTATTTGATGCTAGTATGAGCTTACCGTATCTACCCTTTTTGTTTTAATCTAACATTAAGTGTAAAGACCAAATTTCGAGAATATTATGTGTATATTATGTTGAATGTAGCAGGTTATAATAATGGATTCTTTACACTAGATTTGCTGTCGTCACACAAATTCAAAATTTGATGAATGCAGTTCCCACGTAATTATTTGGTTATTAACTATGTTAACAGCCAAATTCCTATCCTCTTAGATATATTGGCAATTTTTTATTAACTTACATCACGATTTTGACCTTTATCGCAACGGAATAAAGGCGCTTTCAATGGCAGATTGTAACTATAATTATCGCTTCGAATGTACAAAAATGACATTAGTTATTTTGTATGGTGATGGAAATTTGCTTCAAAATATACTTGTGTAACTATCGCCGATAAAGAAACGAAACGTCGTAAATGAAGACGCAAGATATTCCGTCCCTCTCGCACATACTGTCACGAATAACGTGCGAAAGGGAGAGAATGCTCCGTTCTTTATTGGCACTATGTTTTAATGTTAAATATCCTCATTTGTAAACGTTTGTGTGTGTAGGTAACTAACTATTACGTCCTTATAACCCGACCAAAATAAATTTATCGGCTCACTAAAAGCGGTTACATGAAGAACTATTGCCATTTAAATATCCTTAGTTTAATCCTTAATTAATAAGTATGTTTTTTCAATATGAAAATAAAGTTGAAAATTATTTTTATTTTCTGTTGTCAAATCAGACATGAAGTTAGCTGCTATTAAACTTTGCTTTAGTTTGAATCTTTGCTGTAATAATATTTTATTAATTTGCAGTACTATCACTAGATCAAAGTTTGTGCGGAAAATATTTTATTTTTCTGCATAATCAAAATTCATTTTAGTCATATAGACAAAACAATAACCATTATTAAATTAGAGTGAAAAAAACCGCTTTAAGTGTACGCAGGATTAAGGTCGATAACTCAAAACCTTACCATTCCTTAGGCCCTAAAGTTTAGAGGTACAACCTACACCATCATATATATAATGTAGGTATCAAATATGTATTTTTATTTTGATTTATCACTAATAGTTATGAAGTTATTATAACATTAGCTTTAAATTGTAGTATATAAATGCTGTAATAATAAAAAAAAACACTCAAATGATTTGTTTTGAACTTGAATGCTGTTTGTTGGTTGGTTCATCATGTTTTTGAAAAGTAGGTACCCTTTTCTATGGGATGTATATTGTAAGTGCATGCTGTTATAGGAAATGCTTATATTGTATCGTGTTACAAAAAGATAATGTACAATAAATGATAAAAAAATAGCTGGTATTTTATTTAGTATAATGTAATAAATAAACTTATTCGATGGCGCATTGGTTAGCGCGTTCGGCAGCTATAGTTGAAGTTAAGCCACTTTCGCAGTGATCGGTCATTGGATGGGTGACCAAAAATTTACTAACTCGAGCTCCTCCGTGCTTCGGAAGGCACGTTAAGCTGTTGGTTCCGGCTGCATCTGCAGTCGTTAGCACCCACCAATCCGCACTGGGTCTGCGTGGTGGGTCATGACCCAAACTCCTTATTCCATCCATAGGGAAGGCCTGTGCCCCAGCAGTGGGGACATAAATAGGCTGATGATGAAAATGATGAAACTTTAACGACGAGTGGAATGTTAGGATCGTAACGACGATCCATGCATTTTATAGGATTCCATATGGCGAGGCGTGTAAATAGCCTTCCAAGTCTATTTAAGAGTATTGGCAAATACCGTGCGATAGGGAGAACAGTAGTAAACACTGATAATTGCGCATAAAAATTGCAAAATTCGAGGTTTGGTTATCAACGATTTCGTCCTCAAAAATTAGATAAAAGATTCTTTATGTAAAAATTATTATTTTTTTTGTAATGCTTATTAAATCTCCACATCTGAAGTGGTGATAAAAATTTGTTTATTTTTCATCTTATACTTTCATTGAAACATAAGTTATCGTAAAAAAGAAGACATAGGTGCATAGAATGAGTATAATTATATTTTATGTATGAAAACCTGATCATAAAAATCGTAATGATCGATGGCAGGGCTTGTTTATCGGTTAATTTTCAAACCTAAATCAGTATCAAGTACATTAGGAGCGTTTTATTTAGGTTTGGCTCTACCCTAACCTTAAAAAAACCGGTTTTCCTAAAAAGCGAAATCAAATAGGTTTTGATTCAATTTAGCGGTTTTTAAAGGGTTTCATTTCGATCTTAATGACGGCATCGCCTTCACCGTTTCAATTCAAATTTATAATAATTTTATGTCAGTTTCTTTCCAACAACCAACAACGAAATCTTTACTAAAAACCGATATTAACCTTTATTTACCGGTATTTTCGAAACCGGTTACAAGCCCTGATCGATCGGTTCAAAAATAAACTAGAATACTCTCACCGTTGTCTACCCTATCGCTATCCCCCGAATCCCTGGAATTACGGTTAAGGGCCCGTGGTTTCACCGGTTTGTCCAACGGTATACCACAATGTACGTGGATACAGTGTAATGTAAGTGTACCTACTGTATACCACAATGTACGTGGATATAGTGTTATGTAAGTGGGACCACGGTATACCACAATCTACCCGTGGTCCTACCGCACTAGGGCGATTCGTATGGTATCAATAAAAATTAATGAAAAAAAACCGTTACGAATGAAAAACTAAAATTAATAAACACCGACAAATTAGTATTGAACTCCAGACTTCTCATTTATGACTTGTTGTTTGCTCTGTAGAACGATTACAACAAACTAAGGCTGCAGATAGACGACGCGAAAAAATTCCGTCGCGCGGTCGCCGTGCGATCGCTGCGCAGTTAGTTACTCACAAAGAATTTTAACGTTAGGTCCTAGGTAATAAAACATAAATTTGCTATGAATGAACAGTTATTACGCGGCCACAGCGCGAAAACCGCGCGGCCGCCGTGCTGTCGCCGTACTGTCACCGCGCGGCCGCCACGCTGTGACATTCTGTGTCATATAAACTCGCCCTAATAATTTTTCTATTTGACATTGTCAGCAATGTATTTAACTAAGATTTTTCTTCCTCGAGGTCCGTTCGTTGGAGCGCCAACGTCTGTAAACAGACGTTTTGCCTGCGTAATAAAGAAAAGGTGAATCAAGGGTCGAGATAAGACTCCGGAGTCCACCCAGATGAACTTTTTAGGTGCCCCACGGGTAACAAACGGATCCGGGTTCATAGTGGTATACCGTAGTCCTACCTCAGAGTTCAAGTGCCCAATTTATTTGTTGTCCAGTGTATACCAATATGTCTGATCGCGGGTTTGTAGATCGTAAAATAGAACTAAAACTTCGTGTCATAGGACTACTACAGATCTGCGATCTAATAAGTAAAATGATGATGAATGATGGAAATAACAATTTGGTAATCAAACTCTTAGGCCCGTATTACAGAATGACAACTAAGTGTTTTTTTTTTATTATAGATAGGTCCGAATGACTTCACCCCACCTGATGTTAAGTGAAGGTGAAGACCAGGCGCGAAGATAGCTGATACAGCAGTTCTACCTGCCACAAGCTAATACTAGTGTTAAGCTTTACTTGAGTACCTACAGTTGGAAAGGGATATCGCTATGTGTTATATATAGCGACATCCCTCCTAACTGTGCTCAGGACTAGATCAGTCACTGGGAATCTTTCTATAATACTGGCCCTAGGTACTTAAATAAGACTCGGAACCAATAAAACCAAACAAAAGATATTTCATTAGACGTAAGTGCAAAGAAAACTTTTGCATACCAAAGCATTTATCTTAACACGTAAACATATTCCCTATTAAAATGAAATCTTGGAATCGAATCAGACCATCTCCAGGCAATCCCATTACGTCGTCGTAATGATGAAACAAAACGAACGGGACCGTTCTAGATTCAGCAATCCTCAAAACAAATCTGGACTGGGGCTGATTGTGGGAAACTAGATTTTAAGATGTAAACAAAAAACCTAAGCGATAGCCAAGAAGTGGGGAGGAATATAGTCGCGTGAGACGGTATTTTCTATAAGGTTCTCGACAATACTTTATATAAATAAAGTACTGTCTTGTATAAACAAGGTGTAGCAGAACAGAATTAACGGACATCCTGAAAGTGGTTTGGTTAGAATTGGCTTCTGAATCGATTTCAATAAAAAAAGTATAAGTTAATCTAAAAAAGAATTCCTTAAAAAAAAAATAAAAAAACGAGTGTGCTTATGACCATACGACTGAAGTGAAACTTCTTTAGCTCCATCTGCATGTGTATATATATATATATATATATATATTTCATACTACTACTTTAAGAGCTAGCTATAAGAGAAAGAGAGAAAGAAAACTGCTTTCTCTTGCTTATATCCCCCACTCAACTCTCGTTCGCCTCGCCCGAACACACTATTCGTGGGTGCCCCTTCTACTCCTGGAAACCGCAAATCACGTAGGGTCCGGGGGAGAACAATCACCGACGGACGCGTGGACAGTTCGACCGTGGGTTTGCCATGTCTGTCAGCCCCCCGTCGCATATGCCAGGACCGCGGTCCTCGGGATATGTTTCGGGGAAAGGTGCTGGAGTATTGTTTAGTTTTGACTGGGTAGGGTCTCGCTCGTTTCATTCCACCGAGAGGTGGGGAGGAGTCCACAGATACCTCCGTCTCGCTTTTCCCAGTGGGCGAAGAATCCGTAATGGATTATCCAAACATAGAGAAAAAAAGGTGATCACCGTCTCCTGTAGATATCTTCATGACGCCCGGTAATTGCTCTTTGTGAACTAGACAACAGTCTGTCCTTATCAGGCTTCATAAGGAATGAAAAACAAATTATCAAAAGCAGTGACGGCATGAAGTATCACAAACTACGCTGTTTTATAATCAATACTAAGTAATAGTTTATTGAGAGTTATGAATAAGTTAATTATGAAGTCAGAAATATATTAAAATTTAGAAACAGTATTCAACAGTAATGTATCGTACATATGGTGAAACGTTAAAGAAATCCATTTCCATTTTGCCTTAAGTATCTCGGCTGGTGTAAAACTAATCGCCATTTATACGATTTATGGGCGGGCTGTACACTTGTTTGCCACCTGAAAATACCCAAACAAATAGAAAACTTTTCAATCAATAACACCATTAGTACCTGGCATATTAGCTGATATGAAATAATTTGCTGGACGTTTTAAAAACACTTATGATTAAATCTAAAGAAAATATTACTAGATAAAAGTCCACGCGGACCAGGCAGCAGACGGGGCCCGAACCTGCACTCTTCGCTATCCGGGAGAACGCACTGACCATTATACTACCGCGGCCCTGATGGCCGTGTTGAATTCTTTCTAGCCTTTCTTAAGCTGCAAGGCAGCACCATCTCTTCGCATTGAAGATAATAGTAATATTTTTTTTTAAGATTTAAACCTCGAGCAGTGGTGTCGATTCTAGCGTGATTCTCTAAACCTAAACTAAAATTTGATGACAGTGGTGTCGATTCTAGCATGATTCTCTAAACCTAAAATTAAATTTGACAGCAGTATATCCTTGTCATTCTCTATACAAAATGAAAAGGAGAGACTGATGTTAAATTTAGTTTTAAGTTTAGAGAATCACGCTAGAATCGACACCGTTGTAGCCTTTTCATTGTCTATACAGAATGAAAAGGACAGAAAGATTATAAATTTAGTTTTAAGATTAGAGAATCACGCCAGAATCGACACCAGTAACATGCTTTCAAAATAAAAGTTATGACTAAAACTTATGATATTAGGGCAGATCCCTAAAAATAATATGCAATTGTAGGTTCCATCATGTTGCAATCTCCACAATAATAGGATCCGTTTTAATCTTCGGCCTCGCGGCCCTCGCTGCCGTCTTGCTTCGAGTACTAGAGTAACGTTTGTAAGACTATCGATAAAATATATTGTTTATAATACTCATATTGTATTAATTTATAGGTTCATTGACCTAGTGAGGTTGTAGAGTATAGGTTTTGTTCACGGGCATGTATTAGATATTCCTATATGGTTACTTTATTCTTTATTTTCAGCATTAATCTGCTCGATTTAAAAATGTAAAGAAATATTTTACTAGAATAAAATAAACTAGCTCAAGGTTTCAGGCAGCCCGGCCAGCAGAAGACACAGCTTCGAGTGCTGCCTGCTGCTTTGACTGAGTAGATTTTTTAGGAGCAATTTTCTTTAGATTTCTACCTACATGTATTAACTTTCAGTGGAAAATCATATAGGTAACTGATTGAGAAAACCGCATAAAAAACCGGTGTTTTTTTTATTATCGCTTACATACAGACAGATGGACGCGAAAGGCCTTCAATTCGGAAACCTTCAATTTTAATTGGAACGCAAATTTAAATGTGTGACCAGTGCCTTCTTTGACCTATTGGAGGCCCTGATCATATTAGGATAATGGGGCCCCAACGACTTCCGTTTGGTGATTTAACCGGAACTAGGGACTTTGTATTTGATCTGAGGGGGCCCCCTATCGATCGCGGGGCCCTGGGCACTTGCCCAAAATGCCCAATGGGAAAGAGGGGTCTGTGTGTGACTAAGATTCACACCAAGTTTTCATAAATTTGTAAATATTTTTTACGAAATATTACATAGGAATTGAGGACCAGATTAATAATATATTAAAGCCATTTTTAGACAAGAGGAGATTCTAGCGGCTGACGTGTTGGAGTGATGGACGGCCCAGTGTCTTGGTCAGAAGGCAGACACTGGGCTCGTGCCAAAGTATCGATACAATTGTTATATAATCGGAATTCAATTAAGCGATTTACGGCATGTTTCGGAATTTCGAATGGCAGTGAATTTGGCACGTTTGCAGCCGCCGCACGATTCATTGCTCGTCTCTCTGGAGAGAGGTTTTGTTGTTATACGTCATGGCTGGTTATTGGAAATTCTTGTTTGTAACATGTCGAAGTTTGCCCTCGATGTTTGTTTGTCCCCGTGCCGTTAGGTGCCTAGAGTCGTCGATGTCAGTTCGTTATCGTTATTTTATTCGGTTCCTCGATTCAGTATGTGTATACTACGCTGTACGCTACGGTCCGACTATAAATTTCAGTTTCAGGTAAGTCCATTGTGAAAAATAGATTGGGGCGATTTTGTTGCAATCAATACATCCAAACTTAAATGGAGTTTGCATTACGAAAAGAGTGATATGGTTAAGCCTACGTTCAGATTGTTTTTTTTTATTGAGGTTGGGCGACTGACATAATCTAAGAGATCTAAGGTATTTAGTTGTACAGAATTCCTTTGAAGTTTGACCTGAGCTTTTTATAAACGTTAAACTTTGATGATTTGATATATAAATATATTACAGTATTTTGCTACTCCTAGCTAAAACAATGGTATTATGAGACTTAGAAAAATAATGAAAACATCTGATAGTTCCAAAAAAAAATTGAAAATAAGAAAAGAAGTTTAAAAAATAAAAAATGAGTTTACTCTTCGGATTGCTGTGAAACTCGAAGATAATAAGGGCACCATTAAATAAAGGAAACTTCACATAAATTAAACAGTTCTGTAGTTTCAAGGATATGGTAAGGTATGATAAGGAATAGGAATCAAGATGTTCCCAAAATAAGAGTAGCTGCCTCATCACTATCACTTAACAGTGAGCAAGGCAGTGTTCCAGGTCCTCTGTAAAATAATACAAAATATCCACCTAAGAGCATATCCATTAATAGGTTGAAAACTTTTATCGATAATAATCGCAGCCGACTCTAGTTTCGAAGATTCGCCATCATGTCGATATCTAGAATTCGCGAAGAACACCTGCTAAGGGCCCTTGTCCGGAGGTTGCTGAGTTATTCGCACTCGAATCTTCGTCTGCCGCCGCTCATCCGTCGTTGGTAGTTTTAGTATATACTAATGTACCTACTCTGTGTTTGTAGTTTTACCGCGTGCGTAAAGAAAGTAAAAAAGGCAAAGCTTTATGCAGCTGCGCGTGTGTGAGTGAGCACTGGCGCCTGTCACTGCCAATAGAAACGTTTCTGTGGGTTTTATTATATAAATATAAACAAATATAAATATTTTTCCAACACTCACACCACTTAGCCTAGCCCCAATGTAAGCACTATAGGCTTGTGTTATGGGATACCAAGGTAACGGATAGAATACAAGTATATTTATATAGAAATACATATTAAACATCCATGACTGGAGTACAAATGCTCGTATTTATCACACAAACAACTGTCCCCACCGGGACCTTGAAACCCGGCGTTCAAAGTTTGAACGCCGGGTTTCAAGGTTTGAACTTCAAACCACTCGGCCACGGAGGTCGTCAAATGTTATGTAATATTATATATTAAAAGGGTTGCAAACAAGCGTATGGCCCGCATGTAGGTGGCCCCCATAGCATATAGACTCTTGCGATACCAAAACTCATCGATCGATCACTCGTACTATTACCTAATCCCTTCCCCTACCCTGTGGATCCCTGGAACCTAACTCAACGACAGAAACACAGCACTACGACAGGTAGTGTTATTTTACTGTGGCCTTCTGTTAGGTGGAGCTTATTTCCCCAGACTGGCGCTCCAATTCGAGCAGAAAATCCGCTATGCCATACCTGTCTTATGGGTTAATGGCCAACCAGGGTTAGCACATCAAATATTGGTCAGTAACGAATGCCTTTATATGGCATGCTTCTGTCGCCCCTCGCAGGTAGGTGTTGGTATAGTAATATGGTGAAAATAACGTGTTTGGGGATTCCGGGATAATAAGGTCTAATTACTAGACGCGGGACAAGACGCAAAATTCGGGGATATTTCCCGGCCGTGCCAACAGGCACTAGTGCTCACTCACACACGTGCACTGCATGAAGCTTTGCCTCTGTGCCGTCTTTGGTCATGCGGTTTAATCGCTAGCTGACTTTATTGCGACTCAGCTCTGCACTGATCTGATTGCTGAGTATTCATTTGTTAGTATATTTAACTTCGTAACTACTCAGGATGGTGGATTCGCATTTTGAAATTGTTGTTTCAATCGAAAGATTGTATGCCTGTAAGGATCGATGTAGTATTATATTGTAATGGGGATTCATTCAAACATGTTATATTATATTGAAAACGGATTTGATTTTTTATGTCTATGCTGGTAAACGAGCTGACAGTCCACCTTATGGAAAGTAGTCACTGCCGCCCATGGACACTTGCAACACCATGCACTCATGCGTGGCCGGCCTGTCGGAAAAGGTTTACCCGCCTTTTAAAGACCGCTTTTGAAGACCGCAGATATCATAGCAGAAAGGAAAGATCGCTGAAGTTATATAGTTCGTTCAAGATCATGCTGGAAAGCAAGACAAATGTATCAATAACTCACTAGCTTGAGGTTATTAATATTTTTTTTTATAATAATAATAAAAACTCTTTGTTAACAAAGGATTACAAAACATGTAGGTACGATTTACAAAAAAGTCACCAAACTAGGTAAGCCTGTATCTCAGGGACTGGAGTATGAGATTTGCACTTATTAATAATATTGTTGTGGATTACTGGATTATCAGAAAGTGAATTATAGAGAAGAAAAAAAAAGAAAAGCAGTACCCCTAGCATGAACCATTATCGAATTCGAATAGTTTGCAAACCGAAATGTCAATGTCACACTTGAACAGCAGCGGCACAAAGTACGTAACGAGAACTAAAAATCAGTACACATTTGACAATGTCATTTTTGACTCGCAAACGATACGATTACGAACTCGATATTGGTTCGTGCTAAGGGTACAGTTGACAAAAATAAAAGAGTAATGGCGCTTTTAGTGAACGTGACGTGAATATATGTGCATATATGTGCGAGAGTGTGTGCGTGTGTTGGTCGCTGTATTTGTGTTATTGTTCTATTATTTATCTATTAATCTTTACCATTATCATTTCCGTTTCAATATTACTGAGATTTAGGAGCAAGGGTTATCTAGTTAGGATTTATCTTTTATAACTTTCCATTTCGCTATGCTTGGATGAAGTGTCTAAATGTCGCATGTAGCAACGACTTTATTATAAACAATATATCATTTATATTAAACATGCTATTTATATTGGGAATGGATTATTACCCTTTAGTCCCCATCATGAGGTTGGATAACCTCACACATAGGCCTCTTTACGCGAGCAGCGCACTGGCACTTTAACTTTGTGTAGAACACATCAATATTTTGTCAAATTCATGGCGGTGAATTTAGGTGTAATTATTTTCGAGGATTGCGGGAGTAGGGTTCCCATTAAGGAACTTCAAAAGTTCTGACAATAAACTTGTAATTTTTATAAAAGTCCCGGACTTTTTAGTCACAAAATGGAAACATGACTTATTTAGGTACGGTGGTATGGAAGGCTTGGTAGCAGACACTCGCACTGAGGAGGGGGTAGGATGGGGGTTAATTAATCATGTACCATTCCATCCAATAAAAAAACAGACTAATAATAGAGCCGGGTAAACTACCGACTAGAGTGTAAAAGTCCGGACATGTCCGCATTTACCCAGAAGGATAGTTACATTAGGCGGGACCCGTTTTCGTGGATGTGTTCTCACGAGTTCCCATGACCTTGTCCGGCAGCGACGCGTCCCTCCCCGACGTGTCCTCTTCGTCAGACGATGATGAGGATGCGGCTGTGATGCACGTGCTCACGCCAAGGCCTATGTGAGCGGCATCGGTGGGTTTTAGTCGGTAGGCCGCGGTACTGCACCTTCTGGCGGGCATTCTGTCTGCCCCCAGAAGCCGCGGAAAGTCCGACATAACCCCGCGTACCCCAAAGCGCGGGGTAAGCATTAGTAAGGCATTTCCCATCGTTAAAAAAAAAGGCGGGACCCGTTTATCTGGTTTTGTGGTCACAAACACATTTCCACATTTATAACTAGCAGATTATTGACAGAGTTGCATAAAAATAAAAAATTGGTCATATACGTATCTCATTTTATGCCTTATATATGTAAGTATGTATAAGGGAAACATTTTTTTATCACATAGAAGTTCTAAATTTCAACATTCATTCCTCTACTTAGTAGCAAGAGCTGATGCTGGCATTGCACGAAGTTCAAGTGGGTAAGTTTACGTGGTTGGAATTTTGTGTAAGTACGAAATACAGGTCGCATTTGTGACGAGTAGGATGTTAACAAAAGTTTAACATGAAGTTGGGTACATAGTTGTCGTTATATTTTCATTATTATTCTTTTATTTATAGAAGGAGTTTTTGTAAATGCATTATGTATATCATGTACAGACATCAAGTTACAACACATATACAAGAATAACAAAAGATAAGATATGTTTTTCTCGTTTCACAACAATGTGTTTGTAACAAAACTCTTCCGAAACGGCTAGTCCAATTCTTATGAATGAATTAAAATTTACGTGAAATTTTGTGTGTTTATCCAGATGGTCTAAGAATGGGACGTAAACTATTATTCATACCCCTAAGTGATAAGGGTGTTTAGCCCCAAAATTTTATATTTACTTTTAGGAGTTTTCTTCTTTAAGATTCTACATAAAAAATAACACACATAACACCCTAAATTTTCACCCTTCTACCACTAACACCAATTTTTATGGCGGTACAAAGTTCGCTGGGTCAGCTAGTATTTATATAAAAATAAAGCTCAAATTCCGTTGGTTAAGTTATTAAGTTTAGAAGAAGCTACCTATAGTAGATATAGAAATACACATTTTGTGAATCTGCGTCTGTCTACCTATTGCAATCAAAATGCAGGTAAACAATTAATGTATATTTAATCATTATGTAATGAAAGGTGACTTCATGAATCATCTCTGAAGTCATTTTTCAACTTGACGACTCTGTTAATAATAAAATAAGGAGAAAAAAACAGCCCTTGCTGAGTTTCTTGCCGGTTCTTCTCAGTACAAGGTCTCAAGGAGATTTACGAACCGATGGCGTAGCTTCTAGATATTCATGAGTGCTTGTAACAGCCTAAACTGAATAAATGATTTTGATGATGATTATACATGTACAAACCACTGGACACAGACGGACAATGAACAGCATGATACATTAGAAATAGGGTCTGTCGTTATTTTTTGAGTACGTTTTCCCAAAACAGGAATGCACACATAAATGTAATTTATAAGTACTTGGAGTAAGTAGTTTGAGGCGTTCCTTAGAAAGCTCCAAGCATGTATTATAAGAATCATAAAAAATTAGGTACCAACAATTAACCACATTTTGATGTTTAACAATAATATAATTAAACACACGCCAAGGTCGGTTCTGTCAGTTACGAAGGCTTTACTTTAAGAAGTAATTAAAAAATTATGTGTAAGAAATGCTTGAACAACACTTGTTAAGCCTTTAATGGATGGATATTTTAAATTCTGTTGGGTTATTCAGTAAAAACACTTACTTAAAAATTTAATTTTCAAGTTGCCGCGTAAACATTTCTCTTGACATTATAGCGTCTCACTAGTATATGACGTCACATGACTGTCGTTAAAACGTCGAACGATATAATGTAATATCACTTTTGCCGGTAGTTTACTAGCGTGTGACGTCATTTTAGTCTTGGCCTATCCCAGGCGTTTAAGCTCATATGACCATGCAGCAAAAGAATCATTTCTATTTAATGATTTTATAGAAACACATAATTTTTCATACTGTCGAATAGCCTATTATTAAAATAAATAGAATAAGCTCAAAGCGACGGTTGATGTTTAGATTTACATTTATAACTGGCTTTGCTTCATGGCTTTTATACCTATCAATATTTTTGTAAAGTTAAAAGCTAAACATAAAATTAAACGTAAAATTGATAAAAAAGAAAAAGTAGCTGTATTGGCTTTCTATGGTAAGTATAATTTCTATCGTGGTCTTGTCAAACAAAACTCTGGCTTGAAACATGCTGTGACATCTTTATAAGACTCCAAACTTTGTTATTCCTTTTTTAATTTAGCTGTGAATACTAAAGCATATATTTGATATATCAAAAGTGTTGGAAAAGAGTATCTTGTATGCCTAATGGTAAGCCGTTACTAAACCTATGTAGTCGCATCAACACCAGAGGTACTTATGATGCGAGATGCCGCCATTACATTTGGTCGTACGGCCGTATTCATTGAGCTAACTACTTACCAAATCCCCTTTAAAATGTATTAACAAATTTTTCATTTACATTCCCTGCGTGTATCGTAACAAAAATCTTGTAGACATTGTTTTCGGTCGTGTCATATTTCCCGGTCCCGCGGCGAAGACTAAGTCATCTGATGCGTTTCTAGTGGCGGCAAGTTTGTTCGGCACGCTTGGGACGTTATTTGTGCCCAAACTATGGAGCTCGGGGGAAATGAATAATTTCAGAAGCCCCGGCTTATGAACACGCGGCGCGCCACGAAACAACGCGGCCACGACACGACGACGACGGTGGAGAATAAAAAAGTTGCGCCCACCCAACAAACACGGAGCACGCGAAATGTGCAACTTTGAAATTTTAGAACGCAATGAAATGAAATATGTTTAGTTCAGTTCTTTTAATATCTTTGTTCTGCTTTATTTATATTAATTCCTGAATATAACTTATCAATGTACCTCTTAATCTTTTGAAATTACAAAAAAATGAAATACTCTAACAACAGATTTTGAAAATTATTGAATTGAAATGTAAATCACACCAATATTATAAAGGCGAAAGTTTGTGAGTGTGTGAGTGTGTATGTTTGTTACTTCTTCACGTCTTAACGGCTGGAGCGATTTTAATAAAATTTGGTATGGAGTTAGCTGACATTCTGGATTAACACATAGGCTACGTTTTACTGCGGGAAAATATCCCTAATAAGCCGCGGGTAACACCGCGGTACACAACTAGTATATGATAATTGTGAATATCATCAATATGGCGGATAATTTGTTAATTTAAGAATGATTAATTAATTAATATACTAATGCTACTAAGCCCGACATTGTTACTAACTTGGGATGTTTTCTCTGGCAATCTTATTAGTGGTGGTGTATTTCTGTCGGTATGTAAGGTTCCAGGGCTCCACAGGGTAGGACATGGGGTCAGGGACGGCAACGAGGTAGGTGACACTGTATGATATAGCAAACTTCTCTATGTTGTGTCAGTTACTTCGCTAACCTTCAGGAGAGTAATATTTTTGTTTGCATGAAAAAAATCCTTCGTACTAATATCTTATATATAAAATTCTCGTGTCACAGTGTAAGTTACCATACTCCTCCGAAAAGGCTTGACCGATTTTTATGAATTTTTATATGCATATTCAGTAGGTTTGAGAATCGGCTACTATCTATTTTTAATACCCCTTAGTGATAAGGGTTGTCCACCCTTAACATTTAATGTTTATGTTTTGGACAAAGTTTTTATTTTTT